GTGCTGTGGGTATATTTATTGGTGTATCTGCGTTTTTTGTCCTGTTTGTTGCTTACGGGAACCACGATGTCGGATTTTGGTCGATTCTAGCAGGTTAGCGAACGTGTTCGATTTTAACAACCGACAGCTGTGCAACAATTTAACGCTGTAACATAAACAAAACGTTACAGATTATATGTATAATAATGTATATCATGCGTGTTATTTAGATCATTTTAATAAATACTTTATATTCTTTTTTGTCTGATTAACTGATGATGCATAATCATCATTGATCTTGATGGATGCATATGTTTATTTTATTTTATTTCAAGTTTTTAAAGTTTGTTTCAAGAAACACCTTTTTTTTTTTTTTTTTTTTTAGACAAATTTCTTAATGTCGTTAATATATAAAAAACGAAAGTGCTAAATAAAAGTCTGTTATTTTTTTGTTATAAATTCTAGATACAAGAGATACAGAGAATTAATATAATATTAAATTATTTTTGTTATAGTTACCCTGTAATAAATTTGTATAATATTATTAAAAGAATAAAAATTGTGTGTTTTGTACTTATAAAATAATTATCCTAACCTTGATCTCCATTCTTGCTAAAAATATGAAATAAAGATAACAAATATAGATTGATATCAATACAAGAAATAATAAAGGCATTCTCAACATATATCAATCTGTCAAATATGTATAATAACATATACATCTGTCAAATATGTATAATCTACTTTTGCATGCTCGACATATAGTTTTTTTTTTTACTTTTGATATAATTCAATGTGGTTGCAATAAAGAAAGCAAAAATTTTAACATTTTAAAATTTAATTTATGTCTTGGAATGTATAGGTGCCTTAGCCGGAGTCTGTTTTCACTTACATTGGATAAAGGGCAAGGAAACTTTGGAGAGATGGCACACTAGAGTTACATTGCGGAATTTAAATGTTGTAGGCTTTGTAAGTGCTGTAACTGGCGTCACTGCACTGATTTGGTATTTATTTCTTACGTTTTACTACAAAATTCGTAAGTATTATTTATTAGTATTATTTTTTAGAAAATTATTTCATATATTTTTTATAATTGAAGAAATTATTTATTTTTTTTTTTTTTTTTCTTTTTTGCTAAAATTTACTTTGGTATAATTAAAGAATTATTAATACTGAGAAATTATTTTTCTATTATCATAGCCATTCAACCAATTTCTGAGAGTACAGCCATATCAGCAGTATGGTCTATGATTTGTGCTAAATGGGGTATTACATTGATGTATTATTCAAATAAATATGAATTATTAATTCAAGAAGGAGCAGCACCCATACTGACAGACGTTGCTTGAAATATTATATTTTTATATAAAATTATTTTTTATAAGATAATAATGCATATATTAGGCCTATTCAAGTTATTTTGCATAAGATACTTTCTCAATCATCTCATAGAATGAGACCAACCAAGGAGGAAATATAAAAGATGTTAAAATTTTATTTATACCATTGTAATATTTGTTGGTGCATTAGTTATTATCCCTTAAGCGTTATCATGCTTATTGATTTCTTGATATTACTGAAGCAAGGTGGAGGAATAAAATAATAAAAACACTGATAAACTTGAGAAAGCTTATTAACTTAAAATTTTTTTTATAATTATTAAATATATATTTAAAAACAAGAAATTGTTGAATCCATCCCATCTATTTTTTCCTGATAATTACATATCAATGTTTTTAATGGTTTATAATTATAAAATAATATAATATTTTTATATAAAAATATTGCATATAGCCCACTTCTTTATATGCATTTATACGCCTCTCCACCAACCAAAAAATGTACATACACATATATAAACATACACATTAGATTAATATTTTCTTCTAAGATGGAGTTAATTTATAAAGTGGATTGATAATGGTACATAGACCAATAAATGAAGAAATTATTCCAAGTAAACCTACTGTACCAGGAGTACATTTTGTGATACCTAATGCTGTCAATGGAATAAATAAATCACATCCATTTTTAACAGTATCCATCACCACTTTCTTATGATTCCTTAAACAGGATAATATTTGATATTGTTTAAATATATTTTTCTCGTGTTTTAAAATCTTGATAATTTCATAAATATCTCTTATTAAACTCATAATAATAGTCACTAGCCAATATTTATTTGCAACTCTATTCCACTTTTCCAGATTAACTCTTAAAATTCCTACTCTGCCCACCCAAATAAAATGATCTGCCAGTAAATACAAAGCATTTGCTATTTTTGCCGTAGTTAATGTAATCTTCACTGTTGGATCAGGATACTTCATCATTTTTAGAGCCGAGTATAAGCTGTCTAAGCATCTTCCAAGGCGAAGTACTAGAAAAGAAATGAGATATGTAACAAAATTTGTTAATAATAAGGAAATATCATTACAAGTTAAAAAGTTGAATACATTTTCGGAATGAACTAAAAGTGAACTCTAAACTCCTCAAAATTTCTGCAGAGAATCTTGTGCTTTGTGTATTCTGCGCATAGTACCAATAAGCACGACTTCCATATTGTAATAATCTGCAATATAAAAATTTTTTATTATTATTTCAGTGATAATATTATTAAAAATATATAAATAACTCATAATTTACATAATCTCTGTTTTAATGATATACATTCTTTAATGACGTTTATTTTTCCTTAGCAAAAATGTTGAAACGTTTATAGCTATAAATGATTGGAAAAGAAGTTTTTCATAAACTAAAGCTTGACAACAATGAATTTCACATTATTGAATGTTCCAATGATATATTATGGGAATTATGAAATAAATAATATACCTTATTATTTTATCCCTGCCTGCCGTTTGCTCGTTCAGCCTCACAACAATGTCCATGATTTCTTTCAAGAGTTATTTGAACTCACAATGCGTAAATAACATAAAAATAGAAACGAAAGAGAAAATAGTTTGGATAAAGACTATTTCTCTCTCTTCTTCCTCTTTTGTATTTTCTCACAAAACAGTATATGCAGTTTAATGTAATTCTTGCAAAAAGCAAGTTAAATACAGATATATATTGAAGTTTTTTGCGCGTTTCTCACATTTACCATAACATATATTTATTACGATAATCGACGACTGTTTTATCATTACAATCAGCCAGTCATCTGTGTGTTGTGTACTCTGAACTGATTGTAAGTATAGTTTGAAAGAATTTATGTAGAAAAAAAAACTCTGACAATGATGTATCTATATTGAGAGGTTATGAAAAAAATTTATGTATTTATTTGTCATATCTTTGTGATTTTGGAAGATTAAGATTAAAATATATGCACCAAGATTTATATACATTAGTTTATTCGTCACATTTAATTGTTTATATAATTTATTTTATTAATTTAGAATCGATCAAATCGCGCATAAATTGAGCAAATCGAAGGGGCGAACAATCATTCTTATTGAATTTTTCAATTTTCAACATTTTTATTATGCGTACATGTCTTTGAAACTACGACTTTGTAATTCAAAGCGAAATTATATTAGAAAAATTTAAAGAAATATATTTTACATTAATGAAAACATTTCTTATTACTTATTTGCGACAATTATTTTATTTTCAATAGCTAATAAAGAATATTCCAATATTATGCAGTGGCTTAAAAAATTAATGCAAGATTAATTAAAATTATGTATCAAAATTTGTTAATCGTCAAAATATATCTATGTGAGAATGAGGGAATTGGTGTTTCAATTTACATTACTGGGCCTCTGGGAAGTGGGAGCCAGTGGAAGCGAAAAGGTGTGTCTCTATAGTCCATGCTCAATTCACTTATTCATTCCACACCAATAAAACACATCTTCGTACGTTTCATTTAGCGCCATTTTTAAAACCAAATCATTCACAAAACACATCCATTTTATTATCAATTCATACATAACATAAAAACATCTTTTTATTCATACAAAATAATTTATCTTAATATTATTACTAAATATACTTTATATACTATAGAAAAAAAAACAATAACAATTATAATATATACAATTTTAAGTAAACTTAAATTAAAAGTTTGGTGAAGGTTAAGTCTTTTTTTATTAATTCTCACACACAAGTGACGAAACAAATACGATAGACTTATGATTATAACTCTATTATGCGAGATACAAAATCACAGATCAACTAAGAGATTAATCCTTATAATTAGAATGATAAAGTGTAATTGTATTTTTTAATGTACTAGATTATATCGATCTCTTTTACTTGGTTAGAAAGTGGAGAACTTTGATTATTCTTTATAGAATGAAATTAGTACACGAGATATACATGTAAATTCGTAAAATGTTTCATGATGTAATATGAATGTAATATGAATAAATTTAGTATCGAGGGTAGATTAAAGGCAGAATGTATGCAGAATGAAGAGTTTTGATGGCGCATATAGAAATAAATGATTATGATAAATGGCGACGAATTAAATGATTGTATGCATATCTCACAGCCCAACGCGCTCGTCCTTTGTGTTTGAATCCTGGAGTGAGAAGAGTTGCATTCACTAAAACAGATTTTACACAGTGTAGTATTAAATACAAATGTAAAAAAAAAAAAAAAACAAATTAATGCATTTCCTATATAAATTTATTTATTACCTATGATGTAAAGTAGAAGTAAATTATTGACTGCGTTACCAATCCATGCAACGAGAATAAGACAGAGGATTGTTGCGCTGTAGTACTGTGACACCAATAAAAGAACAGTAATTAAAGCTAAAGTAATTTCTTAGTTTTTAAATGCAATTTATATATAATATATCTAGTAAATCTCATTGCACCATTAGCAAACAAATTTTTGTGTGTGTATAAAAAGGCAAGCAAAACATTATTTTTTATTATATAATTTTCAAAAAATAATCTTAAATATAATTAAAATATAGTTTGTATTTAAATGCATTTAATTATATATTAATTCTAATGTACACCTTTTTTGACTAAGAAGTTTTTCGTGCAAGTTTAGAATTTGTTTATACAATATCATATATATCTCAATAGCAGATATTAATCTTTCGATAAATAACAAAATGTAATTGTGCAAATATGTTTAAATATTTCTGGTATACGAGAGATGAAGGATAAAAGATGCAGCAGCTATTAATCATTATATAAAACTTTACCCTATAAATGTATCTATACAAATATAATCGGTAGATAGCCATTGTAAGAATAATTTTTTTTTCTCAAAAAGTATGTAATCGATTTAGGAGAAACTATTTCCAGTTAGGTTTTTTTTCTAAAAAAATTATTTATACCGCATACACGTTCGCGATTCATTGGATATCTAGAATAGATTAAGGACAAGGACACACTTACGATGTTAGGGCGATCATGTCGAATTTTCGAGATGGACGCCCATACGCCTTGTATTTGTAGTATTGTAGTCGAGAGAGTTTGACAGACCTCAATCAGTTTCTTTTCTTTTTGTCCAGTCCAACTTTGTGCATTGCATAAGATGGAGGTCAAAATTGGTACAAGATAATCAACAAGAGCAAATATCAACAGACATATAGATATCATTGTCAGTAGAGTTGGTTCTAGAATCCATATGATACTGCAATAAAAGAAATATTACTGTTTTACATTTTTGAATAAATCTATACAGGATATCTCAAAACTACTTTTTATAATCTAGTCTTTCCTTAGTCACAATTTAAAGATAATTTTTTCTCGCATAAAAAATTGTCACAATTTGTTATTACTTTCCAATTTTAATATTATATCTTTATTTAAACTAAGAATTATAGATTAAACATTTTATTAAAATCTATTTATAAAATTCTAATTAGAAATCTGTATGTGCATTTTTGATCAAGGAAAAATCAATGATTTTGGTAAATCTTAAAAAGAAAAAGTTATAGTTTTTGTTTATATAAAAATTACATAATTTACCAGAATATCATTGTTACAAGTCCAACAATCAGTCCAGGGTGCCAGCTACGTTCCCATAGCAGAATAGAATTCAAAGGCAATATTATTTCTCGCCAGCATTCCATCTTGCGCTTCAATTGTTTCATGTGCTTTTCCTAAGATATCACATTATTAGCAAGCGAAATCGAGTCTTACTGTCATTGATTTTCTATTATATAAAGTAAAAAAAGTATATTTATATATAGAGATACTTTTGCATCTGCTCAGTCGCGATTCTCAGTCATATATATATATATATATATATATATATATATCTATATATGTTTATACAATTAAATAGGTGTAATTAATTAAAGCGAGTTTACCTTTTCGCCATCATCCGTCATTGTGCGAAAATTGGATAAAACAGCGAAGTTTAAATTTACTTCAACGGCGATTTGGAGGAGGGAGAAGATGCAGTACGCCGTAAAGCTGCGAGAGTTCGAGTCGTGAAAGAAAAAGTCTCGTTTCGCTGGGAAATCCGTACAGAGTTTATCCACGTACCATCATCTTAAGGTATACGTAATTTCATCAAGAGGTACTTAAAAATTTGCTCCGAATCACAACTACGCCGAGCAACGATCGTTGCGTCTTCGAGTTAAAAAAAAAAACAAGCGTAAAACGTCAGAATCGGAGGACGGGGACGGGTCGAATGGTCGAATGCAGGAACATGGGTAGAGGTAGAGGTAGAGATGGGTAGAGAGGGGCGATGGATGGAAGAGAAGTGGGAGGAGGAGGAGGAGAAGGAGAAGGAATAAATCGACTTCTAGCTTCGAGAGTACAGTCGAATCTGGCACGCGATTGGCTGTCAGTTTAAAATGTTGGTTATTGCAGGCGATGCCGTGCTAATGTTGTGACGTTAAGTGTTTTCCTACCTTCCGTCGCGCGCTCGAAAGTTCGACAGAACGTGTAGTTGCACGCGAGGCCTGGCAGAGATCACGCTACAAGCTTTCGGCGATTATGGCTGCCGCCGTGAGCTCCGTGAGTATCCCCTATTAGTTATATTGCGAAGCGAAAAGACTCGCAAGTCTATTCATGCTGCGGCGGCAACACACACGTCGCGACGCGACGTGACGCGACACGACGCGACGCGACGCGACGCCTTGTCTTGCCTTGCCTTCCCTTCCCTTCTTGTTTACCTATTTACCTGCGCTTTTTTCAATGCGCGTGCTTCGTACCGATAAATGTTTGTGCCGCTTGTGAGACCGATATCGCGAATCGTACGTTTTTGCAGAATGTGGAAAATTTGTCACCGCAAATTATCCGCCGGGTGGCCAAGGAGATGGCAGAATTGGCCGCGCAACCACCCGAGGGTATTCGTGTCATTTCGAACGACGATGACATCACCGATATCCAAGCTGTCATCGAAGGCCCATGTAAGATCAATCGATTACCCTTTCTTTCTTTCTTGTACGTACTCTCTCAGTGTCGTCTGATTTACGGTTCATAGATTTTCGAGATGAAGCATCCTTTTATCGACCATAACCTAACTTTACTACATTTAACCTAACCTAACCTTAACCCAACCCAACCCAATCTAATCTAACTCGTCAATCCAATCCAGCATTCAACCCATATTCATATGTCATTCGTTTATGGTTTATGTCCAATTATTGTATGTTTGTATAAATTTCGATTTTAATAGATAAATTCATATAGGTTTAATATGTGTGTTTCTCTTTTCAATAGTTGGAACTCCGTACGCCAATGGTTTCTTTAGAGTTAAATTAGATCTTGGGAAAGATTTCCCACAAGGACCACCTAAGGCGTATTTCCTCACAAAGATTTTTCATCCCAATGTAGCAAAAAATGGCGAAATATGCGTAAATACTTTAAAAAAGGATTGGAAACCAGATCTTGGAATACAACATATATTATTGGTAAATGATCGCAATATAATTATATCGTACTGGAAATGTTTATTATTTCATTTTGCTTTTTAGACTGTAAAATGTTTACTAATAGTGCCAAATCCTGAATCTGCTTTGAATGAGGAGGCTGGTAAATTGCTTTTAGAAAGTCACGATGAATATTCAGAGCGAGCAAAAATGATGACCGAAATACATGCACAGGTAATATCTTATCAGGTATGCAAGTTTTATCTTGAAAATTATAAAGCTTTCTTTCACCGATATAAGATTATTCGTTTTGTTCAGGGAGGTGGAAAAGGTAGTAAAGCTGGTCTGGAAAGTTGTGCCTCTTCAGAAAGTGGAGGACCTCTTCCAAAAAAACATGCGGGTGATAAGAAATTAACAGCAGAAAAGAAAAAAATGTTAAAAGACAGGAAGAGAACATTGAAAAGATTATAAAACAAAATCATTATTTGTCTTTTGTAATTTAAAACATTGGTATGGGGTACTGTTGCCTCGTATTGTATACAATTATTATTGCATAGTAAAATTTTATTATCTAAACATGACTGATCTTATTATTAAATATTTAGAGAATTTGATATTTCTAGTATGCAAAAACATGAGAAGAAGGAAAAGAGAAACAAAAATTGATCTCCTACATTTTGTGGAAGATGAAGTACAATTCTGTAGCAACCTCTATAATTGCAGGCTGAATTATAGTAATAGCCTGTTCTCTATGCTATTTATTAGCAAATATTTTTACATATGTACAAAACAATACAATGTGATTAAATAAAATAAAATGTCTTCGCAAAATATATCTTAAGTGTCGATATTATTTTATAAGAATATGTAGAAACAGTTGTCTACATCTTTTGTAATATTTAAATATTTTTTATCGAATGTGTGCACATTTTTAAGTTAAATTTTGACATGTCTTTATAAATTTTAAATAATAGAATAACAGTAGGTAAAATAGCTTTATATAAGAGTTATCTCTCTTGTTAAGAATTCCCTTCATTAGGTGGGTAATAAAAACTTTTTACTTTAAAAATGATTTCTTTTTATTAAGAGACTCTGTCATCGGTTTTTCTTCAGTCTTGTATCACTTGATTGTAATGTATATGTTGTACGATTAAAAATATTTACATTTCTTCACATGTCTATTACCATGTAATAAAGTATATTAAAATATTTTATCAGTATCCAACAGCAAACAGTGTATCACAGCCTTAATTCTCTATAAGCAATGCACTAGTCACAATTATGTTTATTTATATATTAGACAAAGTCCACCAAATATATAGATTACAAAAATATCTTCTCGTTGTTTATCTCCTAAGATCAGCCACTAAAATCACCTTAATATGTAGGCATAGTTTTCGATACTTGACATGGTATTTAAATAATCAGATTGTGAGGGCTAGAAGCACATTCTGTACTTTGATAAACAACAACTGTTCGAGATGCATCTCATTGTATTTTTCATCAGTTGAGCACACACGCACGATAATACATACAAATCCATACAGTCTTTACAATTGTAAGTTGTTCTCTTTTAACTTTTTTAACTTTCTTATTATATCACATAAAAAAAATCTATGAACGTCTACGAATGATATTCGCGGAAATTGTGTAAAACTGATTGTTTCGATTTTTTCGGAAGAATCGTCAAAAATAAAAACTAAAAATTAATGAGAATTTTTTACGACATTTTACTAGAGAGAGAGAGAGAGAGAGAGAGAGATACACAATATATAAATATATATATATATGTATGTACACATATATATATCTTAATAGAATTATATTTATATTGTATGCTTCATGAAAGTAAGGGCAACAATGTATATTGTATTAAGTCAATTTGAACAAAATCTAAATAGAGTAAAGAAAATTTTGTGACATTGTTACTTGACTTCCTTCACATATGCTTCCAATTCCGCATCTAATTCCTCGGCTGTGGGTGTCTTTGTCGCTTGTCGAGTGCCTCCTCTACCTCCACGTCGACCACCCCCACGACCTTAAATACATATCATAAAATATATAATATATAAAAATGCTATATCATGACTAGAGAAAGAAACTAGTAAATATATTTTGAATAATAATTACTCCAACTCATATATTTAGAACAAAAAATAATTTTCCAAAAAAATAACTATATCAATTTTACTAATGTATACATTAATAGCACAATGTTAAGTTGCATTAATAAATTACCTCTGACAGGTCCTGTGCCGCGATTCCCCCTAAAACGGGTTTGAGGTCTCTGTGTATAATTAGTACCGCTTAATCTCGGGCCACCACGGACAGAAGTGACTGGTAATTCAGAAGTGGCAACTTGTATGTTCATTTCTCGACCTGCCGATGTATATCATACATTGAAATAACAAATGTGAAACATTCATGTAAAAATCTTTGCAAACTTTTCTCTAATGTTACTCCGTGTTGTAATTTTTAAAAATGATAAAACGGAAAATGCTTAATATCAATGTTGTAAGATATAAACTGGAAGAAAAGCTGAACGATTAAAGGACATTTAAATACAGATGCAATTTCATAATTAAAAACGTACATTCAGAACAATTATATATATTCAGGTACATACCATCTAGCGGTACTCCATGATATTGTTTCATTGCTTTGATAGCATCTGCTCGTCTTTCAAATATGACATCTGCAGAGCCTAGAGAACGACCTGATCTATCATAATGTACTGCTGCCGATTTTAAAGGTCCAAATTCACTAAATAATTCCTAAAAGATATTAAAGTAGTTAAAGTAGGTTTTCGTACTAAAATTTTTCTATACAAAAATGTGCAAATTAATTCTACAGCTACATAAAAATTGATACACTGAAGGCAGGTGTTCATTAGTTAAACCAATTGTTTGGTTTTGCAAATCTGCTCATGGCTAAACAAATTATATTGGTTTTATGTAGATTAATTGAATGTGTTTAATATGTAATTCACTTTCATTAAGATGCTAAAAATAAAAAGAAATAAAATCTACTCTATATACAATATTTTAGTTAATACCTGTATATCTGAATCTGATACACCAAAATCAAGATTTGACACCAAAAGCTTGGTTGTTCCTGCATTGCCTATTACACCACGACCAACCTTTTTTACACCATCAAACATGTCGTGTTTCCAAGCACTGTTCACATCACCCTATACAATAAAGAATAAGTTTTATTAAAAGAGAAGTTGATCCTATAAATAATCTTTTTTAAAGTAAGAAACTTGCAGAGAAAATTAATACCTTGCAAGAGAAATATTGCTTAAGGAATAATTGAAGAATATTTATATAAAAAACAAAATAATGTGTAAAGCACAATATATAAACGTATAAAAACATTCAAAGAAATAGGAAAAAACATAATAGACTATTTATTCAACAAAGCGTTAATTATTTATCTAAAATAAATAGAAATGAGCATTTTGAGTTTGAAGCTTCCATATCATATGTGCATTCGACGTATTCACGTCCATATACGTTACACAACTTGTACTTTTAAGCTGCGTTCGGAAATTACACTTTGACACGTCGGAGTATCATTCTATCTTTGTTAACTTTCCGTAAGAAACAAAGATAGAATTATACTCCGACATATCGAATGTGATTCCCGAACGCAGTCTTACGCACGTAGGTACCATACCCATATAACAGAATATACTCATACACATACGCGCGCGCGCGCGCGCGTGCACACGCACACGTACACGTACACGTATACGTATACGTGTGCGTGTCTACCCAACATATTCTCCGGGAAAATTTAGTCGAGGAAAAGTCGATGAAACATATTGAAACATGTTTGTTTTCTTACCCTCGTGTACGGCAGAGAAGTACGCGAAATACCACCACGATTGCGTCCTCGCATGACGCCACCGCCGACCCTTTGCGCCCTACGTGCTCCTCGACGGGGCGAACTGCCGGCACCTCTGCCGCGTCTATTGCTACCTCGCGCCCTAGATCCCTTGGTCTGTTTGATAATGTCGTCCAAACTCATCTCTATCTTATCAACCATCTTCATTTGTGCGGTTCGCAGTGGAACGTAACAATCACGCAAAAGAATTGCCGAGGTAAACCAACCTCTCACACTTCTCACTGTCGTTTTCGCGATGGCGGCAGCGGCAGCAGGCGGTGAAACGAAAACGATATCACGAAATAGCGCCGCAGAGCAATCTGGGTATTCTGGATACTAACAGCCGTAGGTTATGACAGATTATGATATGCGAATCACCAGAGAAAACTGCATGGACAAATTTATCGCTTGGTGGATTTCGATGTCCTCTAAAGGTGCCTTTTCACGAGCCGCTGAAACCGATTGATTGTTTGAGCGACAAAATGATCACGTAACAACTTTTGTCGCTGAATTAAACAGCGATCATTTTTGTACATGAAAAGAATAGGCAGCGCGACAGAATTGAAAGTTAAGCGTTTAAGCAGTAAATGTTTTGTAGTTGAACTGATTCAAACTACAAAATTGTTGATGCTGAATTACGAGCGACAAATCTGTCGCTTCAATCACTTGTTTTAGCGGCACGTGAAATTGCACCTTAATGACACGATGAGAAATTAAAGGATTCAAATTCTTTGCGCCATTGAAAACTATATCAAGAATATAGGCCTGTATTCATAGTCCGATCTTAAGCCAGAAGGTCGATTGTGTAATTTTTCTAAAGTGAAAATGTGAAAAGTGAAAAATTTCTTCCAATCACACATCGATTTCATTTTAAAATCAATGCGTGATTGGTGGAAATTTTTCACTTTTCACGTTTTCACTTTAGAAAAAGTTACACAATCGACCCCCTGGTCTACATTGGTCGTAGAATCGTAGATCGTAAGAAAATTGATCCAATCATAGTTGAATGTGAAGAGAATAATCGACTGTGATTGGATCAATTTTCTTACGATCTACGATTCTACGACCAACGTAGATTTAGCTTAATTGGTTAAATGGGATTTTAAGTCAATCTCTGACCAGACTTAAAGGGCCTTCTACAATGGAGTGTCGTAGGCTGTAGTCGTAAGAAATTGACAAACCACAGTCGATTATTTCAAAAATAATCGATTGTGATAGGTCAATTTCTTATGACTACAGCCTACGACACTCCATTGTAGAAGGCCCTTTAAATATAAGAACGGACTATGAATGCCGCCCTATGAATGCGGGCCATAGATGAGTCACAGTATAAGAATATACAGTGTGGACGAGTATAGAAGCACGGTTCTCGATACCCCCGCGGGTCGCACGAGCTAGGGTACTTTGCTATAGTTTACGTCACGTATACTGTACTGAAATGCTTCGGATAGTATAGTATACGTGACGTAAACTATAGCAAAGTACCCCAGCTCGTGTGACCCGCGGGGTATCGAGAACCGTGCTTCTATCTTAGAACATATATTACTGGAAGGGGAATTGCTATTGTTCTCTATGTAAAAATCTGTGTCCAAGTTAGGTGCGAGAGAGAAAGATAGCTTTTAACCTATGCTCGCAATGCGCAAACGTAGATGACGTCACGGTGACGTCACGCTCACCGCGCCGTTTGAAACTGGAAATGTAATTGGTGCTTTCGCTAATTCGCGTTTGCGCATTGCGAACGGAGGTAACAATCTACCTTTCTCTTTCCTTAAAAACGTGGTTCTCTCTCGCACCCAACTTGGACACAGTTTTGCGCTCCTATTCCCCTTCCAGTAATATATGTTCTAAGGCTTCTATACTCGTCTATTATGGCGGTATTCATAGTCCGTTCTTATATTTAAGATCGTCTTAAGGGTCGACAGGTCGGCCGGCCAAACTCCGAATTGATGTTGGAGACCTCGCGCGGTGACAACGCGAAACTTCGATTTCAGTGTTGCCAACGCCGAGAAACCAATTCTCGGGTTTTATGTAGTGGTGCATGTCTGTACACGTACATACACCATTGCATTGCTCACGCGGACGCACGGTAGAGAGACAAGGACCGATAATCACGTGTTCTCCTTGTTCCTCTATCGTGCCGGTATACGCGAGATGCCGCCTGAAAATGCTTTCTGGCCTTCCGTAGCAGAAGGCAGTAGCGTAGCAAGGCTAATAAGTACCTACTTTTTGTAAATTTTATATATGCTTATGCACATATGTGCGTATATATATATATATATATATATATATATATATATATATTAATTTCAATATATACATATATATATAAATTATTATTTAACTATTACATACGATACGCCTTTTATTCAAATAATAGAAAAATAATAGAAAAAAACAAAGAATGAATAAAATTTATTCATTTCATTTTTATTTGTTTTTATAAAATTTTTATTCAAAATAATATATTAGCAAAATCATTTATTGCGACTTGTAATCATAACATTACGCTAATCGATGTACAGCATTCATCTTATAAGATTTCCATGTGTTACTACCTCACAATATTATTATAAATAAATGTGAAATTTAATTTGCATTACTTTTATATTTTCATATATAATGAGCAGATGTAAAATATTTCTCATTCGTGTGCGTAATATATTGGTTTTTGTATTTATACTAATTTTACACATATCAAATGCAAGAGAGACAAAGATAGAATGATACTCTCTTCTTGTCAAGCTGTCAGTATGTTACCATAAAAATTTCCCCATGAGTATAGATCTAGTGAGATTTGTTCATCCCAAATATTACATAAAAAGAAGTTACGTAGCTTCGTGAAATATTTTTTAATATATTCTTTATATAATAAAGCAAGGAGACAAAGAGTCAAATTTTGCATTATTGTTCTTAAGAATTTATAATAAATTAAATACGATCTTGTGGTTAACCCAACCTTACCCGCTGCTAGCTGCGCATCTCCCCAAGTTATATTATGAATTTTATATTCATCTTTTTTTTAAAAAATCAATCTTTGTCTCCCTGCGGACAATCCTACTGATTAAGAATATCGTAAATTTAATAAGATTCATTAAGTATTTTGGCTAATATCTGGGATGAACGATTCCGTAATTCCCGGCCGGTCGATAGGCGTCTCCACCATGCCGCCTGTCGACCCTTAACTTTTTAAGACCTAATGTACGTATCATATATTATGTTATACACCCTAGGTATTGACACACGTCATTTTTCAATATTTTTTATTATCAATAAACTGAGGATCATTTAAAGGACATATTTCCACATTTTGGAGCCAACCTTTTTTTTTAATTATTTTCAGTCATTTAAAGAGATAATTTAATTTTTCAAAATTTTAGGACTCAATTTGTACAAATCATATATATTATTTGACACGTTATTTTTCAATATTTTTTATTATCAAACTGAGGACCATTTGGGGGACGTATTCCCACATTTTAAAGCTTGCTCTTTCATTTTAATTAGTTTTACTTCTATCAAATTAGTTTTACTTCTATCAAAATAAGCAAAAAAATATCAATATATAAATTATATACGTATATGGCTTTAAAAAATAACCAGTTCCTATATATATGTTATAAAGGAAAATTTTATTTTGTCATAGTAGATATATTAAAAAATCTTTCCGTCCATTGAGACAAAAATTTCTCATTATTGAGATTCGTGTTTATATCTAAAAATGGCAGATTTTTTCTTATTTTTCGACAAGAGTTTTAAATTGATTGCTTCAATTTATATCTAGGTATATAATTGTAAGCTATTTAACTTATATTAAGTTTATCATACTTTTTAATTATTCCTACAAATAATAATTTAATATCTAATTAATGTATCTATATTTTATATGAAGGGGGATTGCGCGATCAGTTTATCGTGACCAATCTATTTTTCATGAAACCTATTATTTAAGTTGTCTGACAAGAGATAATTGCCTTATAATAACATATCTTGTATAAGTCGGAAACCGTTGATTTCTAAACTCATTATTTATACATATATGTTCTTATATATGTTTATTCTAATAAAATACAGAGGATGAGGAAAAAGTATAGGACCGGTAAAATATATATTTCGAAAGTAGTAGGATTTTACCTGTCCCATATTTTTTTCTTATCCTGTATATTACACGTAATATACATTACAAAATTTCCAATATTTACATAATTAGATTTGGACATTTGGAACATCGATCTTTATAATTACATATACATATGTATATAATGATAATGTTTATATGTAAACATATATACGCATGTATTATATGTATATGTGTAATTTTGGAAAAAGAATAAAAATAAGTAACCGATAGAACAATTATTAATTTTATTTAATTATAATTACATTTTATTTAATTATTATTATTATTAATAAAATCGAGATTATATTTTATATTGAATTATTTATTTTGTAAATTGTATAATAAATATATAATATTTGAAGTATTATTTTAATGCATAATAGACAAATTATTAGAAAAAGATTATTATAATATTACAGATCAAAAAGAAGAGAATATAAAAAATGTATTTATAAATTGTTGCATATTCCAAATATGTAATGTATAATAAAAAATATAGGAAACATTTATAATATTTAATTATATAATTTTAGTTTTTGTAGTAGTTTATAAAATTAATGCAAAACAAACACAAAGTATATAAAGAATTAGAAACAATTGAAAAAAGATGAGAAGAAAAGCGAGAGAGGAAAGAGTGGGAGAGAGGAATAGATAATATATAAATTATATATTATATTATATACACTCTTACATTTGTGACTAATCTATTTCTAAGATTTTTGATCAAAACTAGTAATAACAAAATTTAAAAAACGAGCAAGTCACCATCAACACTTTTATTAACTTATGTAACAAAATAGAGAAAAATCTATGTATTTACCTCTTATTATTTCTGTCACATGGAATGACAATGTAACTTGGGATACTTTATAATTAAACAACAATCGCAAGCGTTCATTTCATATATAAGATAGTGATTCATGATGCAATATCTTTCAGTATACTTGAAAACATTAAAAAGTGTATTGTATTTAACATATGCCCTATAACCAATCGTACATACATATCGATTGTAATATAAATTAGTGAAAAAAGATAGTTTTTGACGTTTCTTTTACGGTAAAGGTAATATATTGACTATTACGAATTATATTGTAACGTCAGCTATATTGTTTGTATAAAACATTATCGTTTAGATTAGAATCTCAGATAAACTGTATATTTCCATAGTAATATTATTTCCATATAAAATATATTATTTAAGTTGAATTTATTTTTAACAAAGATATATAAACAGTATTATTTATCGCAATTTTCATGTTTTTAATGTTAATTTTGAACAATAGCTTTTATCTTCAACAAATAGCATTTAAAGTTTATTAGAGGAAATAAAACGCATTTCAAATTAAATAAAAATATTTTTCACATACATATATAGTATAGATAATACATATATAAACATGTATTAAAAAATATCAAAATATCTAAATATCTAAATTCTTGAAAACAAAAAGTTTATTCTTGATTTTGTTCGACATGTTCTGTGGAAAGACTATATATATTCAGAAAAAGAATTGTACAAATAAGTGCAGTCGTGAATTTTGATCTTTCGCGCCATTTTAATAAATTTTTACATACCTACCAATATTTCATCTTTCATTTATATGAGCTTGTCATGTAGATTGCTTCTTTAGCGGGGAGCACACACTTTTGCATAGGCGCATAAGCGTAAACATAAGAATCTTGATTGGTCTATGAACGTATGCATAAGAAATTCAACCAATCGAATTTCTTATGCATATGCTTATGCGCTTATGCAAGAGTGTGTGGTCCCCGTTTTAATATTAAACATTCATTATTTGATAGTGTTTTGAATTTACAAATATTAGAAGCATATAAAAAATAAGTTTAAAATATGCCCTATAAGCACATGATATTATTTAATATTTTAGCAATATTCTAGGCGTATTTTTAGAATATTTAATATTCTAAGAATATGCCTAGAATATTAAATAATATCATGTGCTTATAGGGTGTAAGTTTGGATGTGTAACACTTCTGTAATTTTTTTCAATTATAAAATTATGTATTTATTATATTTTAGACAAAAGTATCAATTTGCGATGTTGCTTGCGGAATTAATCGGGATTTTCATTATTACTCTGAGTGTTGTGTATATATATTATAAATATGTGCTGTTCAATTATTGGCGCAAAAAGGGTGTTTTTTATATTAAACCCACAGTGCCAGCTGGTAATTTGACAGCTTATGTAATTGGAAAACTATCAGTAGGCGAGTATATCTATCCATAAAACTATTAAAATACATTATATTAGATATATTTGCGCATGAGAATGTGTATGTATATTTTTTCTTGGTTTCTTCCTTTCTTTTTAGTGGAAAGGGATGTGATGCTCTTTATTAATATAGATCAAAATTAGAAACATCATAATTGTATTTAAAACAAGAAATTAATTAACAAACACAAAGTGTGTGTATAAATACGTGTACTCTTATTTTCTCTTTTGTGCTATTAACTCTCATGGTTTATTTTCAATTTAAAAAATATGTATATATAGGTGAAGTTACTAAATTATTTTTAAGTATTTTTTTATAAATATATGATTGAATTTATATTTTTATATATGTACACATATAATTGAAGATTGATATATCTCTATTAAAATAATTAGTTTCCAAAACTTGATTATTTATTAACTTAATATATTAAAAATTATTTGGAAAGAGTGATGGCAAATTTCGCCCATTTTTGGGACCTCGAATTTCAAACTTTTTTCATGGCAAACAGTACTATTAAATGAAACATTAATCCCAGTAAAATTTCAAAATGAGCATAGGCACGGTTCCGAAGATACAAGGGGGTGAAAGTGATAATTTCTAGTCAGGGATGAGAAACTATCACTTTCACTTCTTTATATCTCCGGAACCGTGCTTATGCTCATCTTGAAATTTTTCTGGAATTAATGTCTCATCATATAGTACTATTTGACATAAAAAAAGTTTGTTTAAAGTCCCAAAATTTTCTATAAAATGGGCGAAAAAACAGATCTTTTTGCCATCACTCTTTTCTTTAAGATTTGAATAATGATAAAAATATTTAAAAGTTTAACCAAAATAAAGATAAACTAATTAAAGATTATGTGATTATAAAACTTTTCTTTCAGTATTTTATAGCTTACAAATTTATGTTTTGTTCCTGTTTTTATGCATATACACAATTAAAATTTTATTCTATATTATTATATCTCTACGTAAAAAAAGTTCCTGAATTAAATGTTGGATTTGTCAATAGGCGAACTCTTTCGTGATGCTTATATGAAATATAAAGATCATCGTGTTTTTGGGATGTATACATTTTTCAAGCCAAATCTTGTGATTGCCGATCTCGATCTTATTCGAGTAGTGTTAGCCAAAGAATTTGGAAGTTTTCATGATCGTGGGATGTTTTGCAACGAGAAGGTTGATCCATTGTCTGGTCATCTGTTTTTATTGCCTGGGAAAAAGTGGCGAAATTTGCGTGTCAAGTTGACGCCCACTTTTACTTCAGGGAAAATAAAGCAGATGTTTACGATTTTGAAAGAATGCGGTGAAGAGTTTGCGAAAAGTTTAGAGAGTAAAGCTCAGATGAGAGATTGCATCGAGATAAAAGACATGTTTGCAAGGTAAGTCTTTTTTATTTAAAGAAACTTTTAAATAACAATAAATATAAATATCATATTTTGAAAAAATGCAAATAAAAATTGCAAATATAAAGGAAAAACATAAGCAGCTTGTTTTTGAATAAATGTTATTTTAAGTTTCAATTTGTTCGATTGCATTTATGTGATATTATAACACTTTTATCGTATGTATATACAGGGTGTCCTGCAACGTAATGTCCACACTGAAACTATGTATTCTTGGTGTCATTTTAAGTCAAAAATTCTTAATACACATATGCTCTTAAGTCGAATGTTAAAGATACAGTAAAAAAACAAAATTGCATAAAATAAATATTATTTATTGAAAATAATAATGTTATTGATTGAACGATAATATTAAATTATAATTAACTACTTTATAAACTGTGCGGTAAAGTAAGTCATAAAAGTGCTTTTCTCGCACTTGTGCGGTGAAGTAAGTCATACATTGAATCGTTGAGAAATAATAAGCCGCTTTCCGCACGCTAAATAGCAATCTAAAATCGAACTTTCGTGACTGGCATTATAAAAAACAATTAAGGTACCTGCTTTGTCATCGTAAAAAAATAAATAATAAATAAATGTGTAAATAATAATTAAAAATTATTACTTATTTATTTAAATAAGTAAGTAAATAATTATATACTTTTGCATATTTTTCGCCATAACTTTAAAACAATCGACTTTAGGGCATATATATGTATTAAAATTTTTTTACTTAGGATGACACCAAGAATACATAGCTTCAGTCGGGACATCACGTTGCAGGACACTCTGTATATCTCTTTCTCTTTGCTCAATATTTTGTGACTCTATATAATGATTATAAAAATAGATGAGATTTACTAATACACACTTAAGAAAAATATATTATAATGACACATAAACGCAACTGAACAAAACTTGAATTGTTTTTAAAGGAAGGATCATAGCTTACATTTCGCTTAATGCTTGATTACGATTTTTTAGTGTTGCCACTTTATGCGCTACATATATGTACATACTGCTTACTCGTTACTTTTCTGACCATGTACACAGATAATGTACAGTTTTTAATTTTATTTCAAGTAAATTTAACTTTGCTACACATTTATATAATTAAACAAAATTACTTAAAATTAATTAAAACAAAAATTATTAGATATTCAACAGATATTATTATGTCAACGGCCTTTGGAATCAAGTCTAATTGCATGGAAGAGCCAAATAACGAATTTCGGCATTGGGGAAAAAAAGTTTTTGAAGAAAAACCCTTTTGGAACGCTTTGTTAATGTTTGCACCGCAAATTATGGATTTCTTTTCTATTCCTTTTACGGATCGAGGTGTTACCAAATTTTTTACAAAAATGTTTCGAGATAATGTGGAATATAGGCAAACTCACAATGTCGTCAGGCATGATTTTATGAATTTACTCATACAACTCATGGAGAAGGGTTATATCGAAGCCGACGATGACAAAGATGTTAATGATATATCTTGTAAATGAATATTTTACACTAATTAATATTAATTGCTTTTACTTACTTTACCTATTTTATTTTCTTTACAATTTTAAAAATAATTGTAAATTTTCAAAACCAATTATAAAAATAATAAGATTATACACACATATACATTATTAATATATGCGATAATACAAAAATAGTTTTAATTTCTTCTAATGTGTTTCTGCACAAAATTGCTATAAGATGATATTTTATTTGAACTTAGCAACTGTGAATAAACTTACCATGTTGGAAGCGGCTGCGCAAGCTTATGTCTTCTTCTTGGCTGGCTTTGAAACTTCCTCGACAACGGCGACATACTGTCTATATGAATTAGCTCAACATCAAGACATACAGGATAAAATTCGTCAGGAAATTGACGAAATGTTAAAACAGCATGGTGGATTGACTTATAATGCTGTGAACGAAATGACATATCTTCATAAAGTAGTAAATGGCAAGTACGATGTATAAGCATTATTATTTTCGTGTTTTGCAACACAAGTTTCATATAAAAAGGTCATTATATATATATATATATATATATATATATATATATAAATACACACACAAATAAATTTTTTGAAGATAAAAATAGTATTTGACGAATTTATAATTTATATGTACAGAAAGTCCCGAACTCTTTGAAATACTTTCAATTTTGTTTAATATTTTCAAAATTATTATTAATTATTTTTTGCCTCAATTCATTGACGTTATTAACTTGTCGTTTATAAATTAATAATTTATTTAAGGATTTTAAATGACTCTAAAGATAAAAATCGCACGGATTGAGGTTGATTGACTTAAAAAGCTAGCCAACAAGTCCTCCACGTCAAACATAAAAAAAATTGTATTATCTCAAAGTCTCAAAATCAAAGCATTTCTGAACCTATGTTTATATCAACTTTTTTTCTTGTTTTTGAATACTAATATTGCACCTGCTGAGCGATTTACTTTTACTTTTGAAATACCCTGCATATAATATGGATAACTGCGGTTTTGAGATTTTTAATTCGTATCTTTCCCTTTGACCTTCCCAATAACGAGATGCGTAGGCAAAATAAATTTTATTTTTTTACATATTACAGAGACTATGAGGAAATATCCACCTGTACCTGTCTTAAATCGCGTCTGCACCAAGAAATTAGACCTTCCAACAACAAATATTCATGTGCCAGAAGGGACTTTAATTACTATACCGGTATTCGGATTGCATCGGGATTCGTCAATATATCCAGATCCGGATAAATTTGATCCTGAACGATTCAACGCGGATAACGTTGCAGCTAGACATCCCTACGCTTACTTGCCATTTGGGGAAGGACCACGAGTTTGTATTGGTAAATAATCTCTTATTTATATAATTTACATATCAAATTATTAATTCTTTATCAATCTGGTGTGTCTCATTATTGTTTAAGAATTATTATTAATCTTTCAAATGTACAATTTTTGTAATTTTTTTTGGTAATTTGAGATAAATTAATAGCGATCGGATATGTTTTATTTATTTATTTTAAGGTTACTCGCTCTCTCTCTCTCTCTCTCTCTCTTTAATATTTATAATTACAAAAAATTACAAGGGTATTAATGTTATATTTATATGTTAGATACATATATATTCCTTGTGTTATAAATATTTAAATATTTACTTTTATATTGAAAAAATGTTTTTTTAATGTGGTTTAATGTTTGATTATTTTTATTAAATATATATAATTTTTTTATTGCAATCATGCGTGTCTCTAGTACAATTTAGAAGGCCTGTAAGCTATTTCGTCGCTATCAATGTAATTAATTTGTAGGTACCAGGTTTGGTTATATGCAAACGAAGATTGGGTTAGTAAGTCTTCTGTTGAAATATAAGTTTAAACTTCATCCTCGAACTCCGGTTCCGCTTACTTTCGATGAAGCTCCTATTGTACTCACAGTCAAAGGCGGTGTTCATCTTATCATTGAGCCGCGATAAAGTAATCGCATATTTTTCAAATAATCTCATATTTATACGTTATTGAGCTAAAATGAAATTTCTGCTTCAGTCAGAAAGTTTTTTGTTGAAAGTGTAAACCTGCTTACTTTTTGTTGTTTATATGTTTTACTATTATCAAATTACGGATATTTAATATTTACAGTTAAAATATACAATTAATTATAAATAATTAAAAATATTTCTTTAAATATTAAAGAGAAATTTTCTTCTTTGTTAATACGTTTAATTAATTATTATCAAACGCCTGAATAAACTGCAATAAATTAATTATATTGTATTTGAATTATTTTATTTAGCTAGCAATTTTGGAAAATCTATTGCTCTTTCTGTGTATATTATCCTGCACTACATATTAATTACATATCAAAACCCCCCCCCCTTACACACACACAAGGCTCGCACGTAGTACATACATTGTACATTAAAAATTGTACATTTTGTTAAAAATTTCTCATTAAATTTTTGCAATTTTGTCCACCTTTGTGTTTACAACTTTTTAACTTTTGATTATACATTAGTCTTTTTTTTATCTATTTGAATAATTAAGTTAAGAGTTTAACACGGCTCTGTAATATAAATATAAATTTAAAGTGTAAGACAGGCAATAAGAGCCAATCGCGGAAGACAGTGCATTATCCTAACGATACTAAATTTTTCTCGTTAGAATTAGATATCTTGTACACAGGTGTTATTTATTTCCGTAGGGGGGTTAAAGGATTATTGAAATTAAATCTCAAAAATGAGATTATTTCATATTTTAAATCTTGGCCGTGACCAAGTAAAATTTGGTGCCCTGTGCACAAGATATCTAATTCTAACGAGAAAAATTTAGTATCGTTAGGATAACGCACTGTCTTCCGCGATTGGCTCTTATTGCCTGTCTTACACTTTGAATAATTAAGTTTTTAATTGAATTTTAGTAAGATAATCCTATAAGCTACTACGAAGGTAATATTAAAGTAATACATTTACATAATATTATAGTAATACTATAATTATTAGTACTTTATTACTTACTTAGTTACTTTATTATACTATTAAAGAAAGCGGCTAGTCTTCACAGTAACGTAAATATTGACAAAGTGTCAATAATTATATGCAGTAATAAATGGTAAGATGAATTGTTTATGTTTATCTTTATCCTTATAAAAAATTTATAGATTTTTGTTGATAAAACGATAAAAGTGATCGGATAAGTTAAAACACTTGTGCAATGAATTTCTCACAATCAGATAAATTAAAGCCGTGAAACAAAATTATTTTTGATCAAACCAAACAATTGGTAATATTATTTTTCAATTATATAACTTTATTTGATCTAGAATTCCTCAAATGAGAATTAGGATAAGCCGTTATTAGATATTTATACACACACGTGTACCTACACATATGTATATACCTATACATGTAACATATATACCTACATGTGCATATATATGAGAATGATTGCATTTGACAATTTTTTATTCTTTGAAGTAAAATAGCATTTGATAAATATTTTCGAGCACTAATATAGATACACAGACAAACACACACACACACACACACACACACACACACACACACACATATATATATATATATATATATATAAAACAACAAATGTCGGAAAGGAAAAAAAATAATGTACAGTTTAGGATGGCAACATATTTTATTGTACAGTCTGGTATGTAAACACGCGCACAATTCGTTAAATGTTCGATTTGAAAAGGAAGGAATTAGAAAAGATGCAGATATACGTATAATATATATCTTTACATATAGCGCCGCTATGTCGATTCGAGCAAGTGCCATATTATATATTTGCAAAGGGAAGAATCGCACGTGAGACGTGAAATGGCTCTTAAAGATGACTCTTAAAATCAAATATGTCTACGGGCAAGACGTTCGCTGAGAGACCAAGAGGTTCGTCAGCGACGTGCAAAGAGACCGGGTGATTCGCAGTCGCAGCCGCGGCTGCGGTGTTAGCCGCGTGCGCGGCTGCGGCCGCGGCATTATTTTGCGCGGCTTGGGCAGCATTGGCGGCCTTTTGTGCTGCTGCTTGTGTGGTCTCAAAATCTAAACGTGCCGCCGCGAGTTGCTCAGCTATCGTTTCAACGCGCGCCTTAGCTTGACCCACCATCGTCGTTTGCGCGGCCAGCTCGGCCGCAGCTTCGGCCGCCGCTTGTGCGGCATGTTCGGCGGTCGCTTGCGCCGCATTTAACGCTGTAGTTATCACTTGCACTTGATGCATCGCCTGCTGGGCAGCATTTCTTGCAGCTGTGGCTGCACGTTGGGCCTGTTGAAGTTGTTGCGTCTCACCATCTACCGCAACGTTCGCGTCCCTAAATTGTTGTTCCAGGCCCATCAGGATTATCTGTTTGCCGGCCAAGGCTGCAGCGGCCGTTGCCGCGGATTGTGCTGCTGCTTGTGCCAAAGTGTTTTTTGCTACATATGCTGCTTGTCCAGCTGCTGCTGGTTGCTGGTTCAACTGTGTATGAGCTTGATCAGCGGCTCCTGTAACCAAGATATTCGCGCATTTTGTATCTAATCAGGCATGCAATGTTTCGATTTTTTTATATATACATATATGTATACTATGTCACTACGATGATGTTATTTACAATTGTTTATAACGGTGGCATTGTCGCGGGACAAATATAATAAATTTGAAAGAATATAATTGGCCAGTTTAAACATATCTAACCTTTAGCTATGCTGGCTAAAGGACCACCCACGCTATAACCAGGCCGAATAAGGCTTGAACGATGACTACTCGCAGCAATTACTCTGACGGGCGCTGTTTCGACATGAGAATTTGAGTCAATCAAGCCTAATGCGGGCGCACCATGATCTACATACTCAAACTCATAACTATCGACTATTTGTTGATCGTGAATCTGTTTTTTAGCTTTGCTGCAATACGTGAGAGTTATGCAAGCTAGGAATATCAACAGGATCTTCATGTTGAAGCGTTCAATTTTTGTTGTAGTTAATGAATATCTGTAAACAGAAACAAAAATTAATGGAAAATTGAAATACCATTAAAATTAATTAATTAATTAGAAAAAATGTAAAACGCGACATAAACTATCTAATTATTTAAAATTTTAGAATTTTTTGCATTAACTCAAAATTCTACATATATGTATAATTCTACATATATAAATGAATTATGTAAAACGTATAATATGTAGACAAATTCATATAGCAAGTGATTCTAATATTGTTTCAGTATAAATATTTGTATAACGACTATGAGAAAAGTAAGAGAAATACTGGAGTTTATATTAATTGATTTTTTTAAATGCTAAACATGCGACAGATTTAGAATTTACTCATTGTCAGACTTCATTTTTTGAGTATGGCAATCATCTCTAGTGTTTCCTTTCATTGGCTATGTAGCGGTGAATTCATTAATTGATCACAATAATTAAAGATTCAATCATTTTTTATGTAAAAAAACGGAGCATTCTTTTTGAGCTAATATAATACAAATAAAACCAATAGATTTAATTTTAGAATTAATCGAATGTTTATTACATCAATGCAAATGTAAATAAATTTTGCATAAGCTTTGTATAAATATATATTGAACTATATTCTTATTATATTTTTGTTTAACAAGTATAAATTATTTTTTTAAGTAGAATTTTTTTATTTTCTTTTCCAGAAAAGAGGATGAAATTACCAGGGTTGGGAAGTTACTTGTAACGAAGTTACAGCTACAATTACTTTTTTTCGGTAACTATAACTTAACTTCGTTACTTTTCTCCATCTGTAACTGTAACTGTAACTTAGTTACATTTTTTTAGTAACTAGTAACTATTTTAATAGTTACTTTATTAGTTACTTTTTTTGGAAACATGCGTTAAAAGTATTGTTTAAGTATGGTAGCCGTTATATTATTAAATTAAATTTTGATAACAGTAGCATATGGATCTTCATATGATTTAATCTTTTACCTAAAATTTTCATTTTGTGTACATAAAATAATATAACACATAATTAAGATCGACCAATCACAGTCAAATATTTAAAAAAATTCTTAAAGGTAATAATTGATCGATTTGCTTGCGACTTTGCGATTACCATTTAGTAACTTACTATAACTATTTTACTGTTGTATATAAAGATCATTCATACATTGATGTTAATTGCAAAGTCGCAAGCAAATCGATCAATATTACATTTAAGAATTTTTTTAAATACTTGACTGTAATTGTGCATAAAATGTAAGCTCCTTATATTTAAAACAATGTATAATTATTTTTAAAAAGTAACTGAAAAGTAACGACTCGTTACTTTTAGAGTAACTGTAACTGTAACGAGTTATTTTTTAAAATCGGTAACTTGTAACTGTAACTAGTTACTTTTTCAATGAAATAACTGTAACTGTAACTAGTTACTTTTACAAAGTAACTTTCCCAACCCTGGAAATTACTACATTGCCTACCGAAAAATGCTTTAAATCTTCAAAGTATGGTATAACGACGCGTTTTAAGTTTCATTATTTATGTTGATCTGACTTCGTAATTGCTTTTTCTCCGCCCAGCTTGTCTTTATCACAAAAATTTCTTTCGAACTTTGTCAACGATATGCATGATTGCACGATGAACCTGATTGGTTGACTACAAATCAATTCAGGCGTGAAAAAAGAAAACTATTGTCGCAGCGATGATACGATATCGTGTTGCATAATAATCCCGCTGCAACGCTTCTGAATTGAATGAGCAGTCGGAGAGAAAGTAATGCTTAAAAACTATGAGAAAACTATGAAAGTGATCGATATACCGTGCCGATCGATACATTAGTGATCAAACTGATATGAAATAACTGCCTGAGGACTGAATATTTTGAATATTTATATTATTCATTATATGAGTATATTGTTTATACATGCACGTTATATGCACACACCATTACTCTTTAATATCATTTTATAAATAAAATTAAAAGGAATAGAAGTATATAATCATATTCTGATGTACATAAATAAATTATTTTAAATATATATGTTAAATTTTTGATGCGTCATTTTAAGAATTATAAATTTTAAAATATTTATTCAGATAACAAACGTTATATTATCTTTTTATGCTTCAAAAAATTAATTGATTAAATTATAATTTATATTTTTTTACTTTGATGAATAAAATCATATAGAATCATGTAGAATCATATAGAATTACTCATTACTGGGTTTTTGATTATTCAAACTGTCAAATTAACATGATAAATTAATATTTTTTCACATAAAAAAGTGTATACATTGTTCAAGATTAATTGATTCAAATTAACATGTACATTCGCGTTCAGCAAGAAATAAATTCAGATTAGCTTAACTAACTTGTTTCTATATATACACGTGTTTGTGACGCATGCACTACCTTTCTAAGTGTCACAATCGGTTAAAATCGAAAATCTGGTTTTGTTTCGCTCTGAAAAGCGCTCGTACGTCATCTGTGCTATGAGATTTTATCTTATACATCGAGATATTCGAGCTAAGAAACGCGTATGCAACATTATATGGATAAGTATAGAATCATAGTTGAAGTTTCTTGTAAACATGATTAGAATCTAAAAAAAATTACCTTAGTCACACATATGCACATACAAGGAAAGAGAAACAAAGAGAGAGAGAAAGAGAGAGAGAGAGAGAGGAGGAAAGAGAAGAGAATATTTATATAAACAATATATGCGTGTATATATATATATATATATATATATATATATATATATATATATATCTTTGAATTTATTTATAAATATCTAAAATTAATATGTATTCTTTATTTTTTCAATTATTAATTAAAAATAATATGTATACGAAATAATTAATTTTATAAAGTAATTTTTCTCAATAATTGTCAATATTCATTTTTGCCTTGTACTAACAATATAAGGCATTGACAGATTCTAATTCTATCTTTATATATCTTTATATATATCTCTATACATATATTTTGTGTTATGGTATATCTCGATTACGAGAGAGATTATAATTTTGCAAATTAAATTAAAAAATGCATGGTTTTTTTTTTACATTTTCGAGCGAGTAAAACTTGTGAAATGTATAATACAACTTTAATTCTTTTCCGCGGATGGATTAATTATTAACTATATTTTATATTCAGTTATGTTCTCTTAATTTAACTATTAAGGATGTATTAGATGGACCGTCTGTCTTAAAAGTTAATCTAAAATATTAAAAAATTAAAGTTGGGCATAATACGAATTCTAATTGATCAAAATTTTTTTAAAAATCACGAAATCATACTTCAAAGTATTCTTTAATATAAATAGGTCTTAATTTCCAAGAAAATATATAAAAAAATTTGTATATATTCCCAAAGAAACATTTTAATCTTAAAAGTTTTGGAAATTATTGTACCCTAAATTCAACCTAAGAAAAATAAAATTATGGAATATCAATTTATCATAAAAAAACGAATAAAATATTATGAACTATTTTTTCAATTAAAAAATTCATTTTTATAGCATAGAGTGTGGTGGAATATTAATGATGAAAACATTAAAAATAATTAATTGAAATACGATGTAAAATGTGATAGCGCCGCAAAAATTTTTCATTTATTGGAAGTTGACAGCAATTTTTTCCGTGTCAGAACTGGCGGAAGTCGGCTGTCAGATACGTCAATTCGCGTAAAAATAAATAATTACTATTTTTTTTAATATAAAGATGGAAAATATCGTTAGAAAGGGAAACAGTTAGTGAAAAAATATTTTATCAAAGAAACAACAAGCATCAAATTGCAAACGTCCAAAAAAATGTCATTATTAGTCAAAAACAACTGAGATTAATGATGAGGTGTTGTCACGTTTTATCATCGATATTATGTCAAACCGATAATCACAGTCATTTTTTAATAATAATTTCAAAACAAGTAAGTAAATCGTTTTTAAAACTTCGTGGGAAAATTTTTACATGTATGAAGAATATAATATTACAGAATAAAATTTTTATCATTGTTTTTTCATAGTTTGAGAATAATTTTTATTACCTGTCTCTTGAACGTTTACATAAGATCCTATGTTAAAATCGCAAAAATTCAAAAATTTATAACTTTTAAAGGGGCAAGTAAAAAAATTTGAAATAATTCATGACGATTTAGAACGTTATTAACAATGTTTAATTAAAAATTCATGGTGATTTCATTGATTGTAATATATCTCCAATACGTACTTCACAAAAACATAGAATTTATTTATGTGTGATTTATATGATGTTTCTTATATAATTAATATGAAATTATATTACAATCCCCCCCAATATAAAAAATCAAAATTATTAAAATTATAAAGTAATATCTATTATGCGTAAAACATTTTAATAACACGCACAGTCAATTTGTAAGAAATTATTTAAAAAAAAGAGAAGACAAAATAAGAAAAAAAAGAGTAAAAGAACGAGAAAAAGAAATAAAGAAAAAGGGGGGGACAAGGAAAACAAAAATTCTATTGAAATTCTTAAGAAGTGTAAAAAAATGGTATAAATAATGGTCTTTTGTGAAATGAATTATACATATAACAACTCAAGTGATTCTTACTGAATATGGAAATAAACGACTTATGTATGTACAGTCTAATAATATTATTGTTTAAATAAAAACTGTAAAAATAAATATATAAATACAACTAAGAAAGGTATTAAGAGTCATATGTGGATGTTGCTGCGTAACGAAAATTAATTTTTCTATTATCTTATTTATAACAATGTTTGCATGGCATCACCGATTGTTTTTTTCAACTAGCTGTGATTTTTTCATTTTTCTTATCATTGATTTACTTTATTTAAATTTTAAATTATTTGTTTATACTAAATATTTTTATTTATTAAAGCTTCAGTAAATAAATTCCTGTGATTTTGGAATAATTTTTAGTGTTTGTTTTAATAATTAGTATTTCCTTTATACGAAGGTAAATATTTTCAAAACTAATAGCGAAGAATTTATTGTACTTACTGGATACATACACACACACACACATACGCAGAAAGACAGAGTCAATTGTTTAAAGAATAAGCTGTCCTTGTGCGAAGAAAGTTGAGAAATGATACCAGTTACTCGTTCATCAGACCTCTTATATTCTTGTCTGGTAAGCTAATCTACGGAAGGGATTGTAAGGCCTTTAAAAGTTCTACCAATATTATTTTCTGTCTGTTATATTTTCTTCGCTCTCCTCCCCCTCCTCTCCTCTTCTCCTCTCTCTCTCTCTCTCTCTCCTCTCTTACTAAACTCAGCGCTTTCCATGAATCAGGTGAAATAAATTGTCTCTGAGTCTTTTTTTATATTAGTGGCGAGAGTATAGGATTATAGAGAGATAGAGGTGAGTAGGATTAGGAGGATTATGAGATTATGAGTATTAGATTAGGAGGATTAGTAGTATGATGATTATGGAAGTATTATTATGATATGAGTATTAGATTAGATGATTAATAGGATTAGAGGGATGGAGGAGGAGGATAGGGAGTGATGAGTTAGGAGTATGAGTAAGTATTAGGATTAGGAGGAGATGGAGGATGGTAGATTAGGGATGAGTATTATTATTATTGATAGTATTAGTAGGATTATTATTATATTATTATTATTATTATGATTATGACAAATATTATTAACAATAAAATCAATAAAAAGCTTTAAATGACACAATAAATTAGAAAAATTAATAAATGCAAAAAATAAACTTTTGAATTATAATCAGGTGTACAATATTTAAATGTATTTAACTATTTCGGTCTCCCGTATTTCGGGCTATCTTAGTAATTATAATACAATAAAAATATGAAAGAGCTACGTTAGTGTTACACGCAAGTAAATTTATACATAATAAAATATATACAAACACAAATGTAAAATATACATGTATATTGATATATAGAGGGTAGGCCAAGAGTCCGGATACAGTCGATATCTTGTAAATAATGCATTTAAGAAAAATGTTTTAAATACAAATTATTTAAGGGTTTAAAAATATATTTTATAGTTCTTATCGCTTTGACCTTGGATTAGGCGTTGTCAAGATTAGGGCAAGATTATTTTGAATTTTTTTAATGGAACTACCATATTTTTTATTGTATATATAAATCGATTCCTCGAAATATTCTGTATAAAAAAGTTATAAAGATTGTATGGTCTAAAAGTGAATAGTTTATGACATATTTTAAATTTTAACTTGATATAATTTTATATAAACTATCTTATAAAATGTTTATTTTCCAATGATTGCATAATCTTAATATACTTTTATGCACAAAATAATGAGAGGAATCGATTGGTACAAAGAAAATACACAGTTATTTTTAAGAAAAATATGTAATTTGCAACTAGCGCAGTTACATAGTATATTTTTTCCTTAAAAGTAACTATCTATTTTCTTTACATCAATCGATTTCTCTCATTATTTTGTGCACAAAAGTATTAAGGTAAAATAAAATAAAATAAAATTGGAATATTTTACGAGACATTTTATACTTTATGTAAGATATATATATATACATATATATATATATATATATATATATATATATAGATTATGTCAAATTAAAATATAAAATGTCTCATAAATTATTTATTTTCTGACCATACTGTCTTTTAATAATTTTTCATGCTATACATACAGAATATTGTGAGAGGATCAATTTCTATATAAAAATATAGTGGTTCCATTTAAAAATTTTAGATGATCTTATGCCCTGACCTTGAAGTCACACAAGGGTATCGATTCTATAATTTTTTCTAAAGTGAAAACATGAAAAGTAAAAATTTCCACTAATCACGCATTGATTTTAAAATAAAATTGATGTGCGATTGGCGGAAATTTTTCATTTTTCACATTTTCACTTTAAAAAAGTTACAGAATCGATACTAAGGTTTCATAAGAAAAATGCAATATATGTAATTTTTATATCTTTTTACAACATTATTTGTAGTTTATTTACGTTTCTTTCATTTGCATCTCTATATTTCTCATATTATACATACATATATATATATATATATATATATATATATATACATATATACAATATAAGAATAGAGACGCAAATGAAAAATAAACATAAATAAACTAGGAATAATGTTGTAGAAAAATATAAAAAGATAAAAAAAATCTGAGAATTAACATCAGAGAGTACGCATATCAAGATGTATCACGTATGTGTTATTGGGATTCCATAATAAATCTACATAACAAATTAGTAATTACTTGATTAATAGGAATTAGTACTTGGAATTATTTTGTATAAGGTTAGCTGAAGTAGAGCGGAACGTTGCATTCATCACGATATGATTACATTGATTCTTCAATAATAACATTAATAAAATTATTTATAGAACAATAAGACAATTTCACAAGAAAAATGTCTATTTATAATTAGTCAAAATATTATAAATAATACATTTATTATTTTTGTATATCTAATTTTCTATATCTTTTTAAATTTTAAATTATGTAAATCTTAATAAGAGATAAAAAGGCCAACTTATCGAGTAATTATTAGAGTTGTTCTGTCAAATAAAATTTATTCCATGTATAAACTAAACATAAAACATTATGTGAAAGCTACAAACATTCTATACTCAAACTTAAGCGAAAATTACAATTATTATAAAATAAACGTTTCAACCGCACGCGGTCTTCCTCATATTATATTATCGTAATTATTAAAAAATACAAAATTATACAAAACTTCCACATAATATCAAAAATTTATGTTAATTCTTCAATAAAAGTCGAGAATTTATAATCAATTAAAGCGTGTTTCAATCCGTCATATCCAACAAATGTTCGCCTCGATATGATTTTTGATTTTAATCAAATCTCGAAAAGTTTCATCTGAGGGTTTCACTCTGAGGTTGAAGATGACACAAGACAAGACCAACAATATAAAAAGACACCTCATTTCAAACTCTGAGTTTGAAATGAGGTGTCTTTTTATATTGTTGGTCTTGTTTTGTGTCATCTTCAACCTCAGAGTTTGAAATGAGGTGTCTTTTTATATTGTTGGTCTTGTCTTGTGTCGTCTTCAATAACTTTTTCAAAAAACGTGGTTAAAATTGTCAAGAAGGACGATGTCAACGCCTACGGAACGTATTAATTTCTCGCATATTAACGATGAAACTTTTCGAGATTTGATTAAAATCAAAATCATATCGAGGCGAACATTTGTTGGATATGACGGATTAAAACACGCTTTAATTGCTTATAAATTCTCGACTCTTATTGAAGAACTAACATTAATTTTCGAAATTATGTGGAATTTTGTATAATTTTGTATTTTTAATAATTACGGTAATATAATACTGAGAAAGACCGCGTGCGGTTGAAACGTTTATTTTATAATAATTGTAATTTTTGCTTAAGTTTGAGTATAGAATGTTTGTAGCTTTCACATAATGTTTTATGTTTAGTTTATACATAGAATAAATTTTATTTGACAGAACAACTCTAATAATTGCTCGATAAGTTGGCCTTTTTATCTATCACTAGTTGTATTTACAATATACAAGCGAAACTTTGTATCAATTGATTCTTAATAAGAGAATAAGGTGTAATTTATTATTTCATCTAAAAGTCATACTTGTGATAAAAGTTGTGATTACTTTTTATCGTGTAAATTTTATTTCGAAAAAAAATTATCTACTTGTAAACTCTATACAATTATTTATATTCTAGCATGTCTAAAATTGTAATAAATAGGAATTGTGCTCGTCCGATTGAACATTGAGTGTTATCTGTGCGATTTCTGGAATTAAGGAAACGTTAATTATGTAAAACTGTAAAAAGAGTCATGAAATTTTCTATCGATTTATTTATATAAGATTATTAAATAAATTTTATTTATGTCGCATTCGGAAGTATGCACATATAACTTTATTTGACAGAAGATATATATGGTTTTATGATTTTAGAAAAATATATGTATTATATTCTACATTACATTATCAAGTTTTAATTTTTTTTATATGTATAAATGAGAAAGAGTGGGCCATGGTGGAAGTATACTTCTACCTGGAGTGGGCCACGAAACAATAATTTATAACTTCACTTATTAATAGTCTCATTATAAATATCTCGAACTCGAAGAAAGCGTTAATCATTTTTAAGTGTCAAATATAAAAGCGTTCGGTCGGTGCAAACTTATTATGATTTTATTATAATATTTTTTGCCTAAAGAAGAATAACGTATCCATCTAAATTTCTTCTTCAGAATGAACATTTTTCACGTTATTTATATCTGTAAGTGCGGCTTATATGATTAATTACATTTACATAAAGATTTAACTGTTAAGTAAATTATATTTTTATTATAACCAATATGTTGTTTTATAGTCGTGCTGATATTTGTAGAATCTGATTGTGGACGAATTCATAAAGTCTCGATTAATGCGGTAAGCCTTATTTATCCATTCTCATTTACTAACAAATTTTAATAACATCAGATTTGAATAGTTTTGATTTTGTCTGTAACATCCAAATATCATTAATAACCTATTACTATGTTTCTAACATCGATCGATTATGAATTCATAATTATCAATATTTGATTTTGGAATTAGAAATCATACACACACTCACACACATATACACTATAAGTATATGAACTAAATTTGTAATATAAACTCTATTTTTATCTTTTTGAACACGAATATAATAAACATATTTGCAGCCATTATTTGTGGCAGTTTTTAATCAGTTCGACATATTCGGTTTAACATATTTTTATTTATTTTTTTATTTAGATTCATCAGCGTATACATGTAGTGCAGAAGTCTAATTTAACTTATCAACATATTCATAAACCTTATTTAATTATTATGTTAAAGAAACTTATTTATAAGAAAAATATTTTTATACGTAATTATATATATGCATATATATAAATAATAATTATAAAATATTAAGCTATACATATATATTTTGTTATATATTATGCTATTATTATAAGTACATAAAAACTAATATTTATATATTCATTATTAATAGAAACATATTAAAAATATGTAAAAACAATTACAGAACCAGGAGACATGCGTCATAACGAAAGTGGAAACTGTCGTAGTGCTTTACCTAATAATGCCCAGAAAAAGATCGTTGAAAAAGCGAGTAACATCGCGCAGAAAGCGGCGCAGGAAGCAAAAGCCGCGTCTGAAGCACAGAATATTGCTGGTCAACAAGCAGCTCGTCAAGTAATTAATTACATTATATATATTATACATTTCTCTGAAAGAAACATTTTACGAGAGTATTTGAATTTTTGTGATTCAAAATGTTTTGTTGTCTTTTATTTCTTTAACTTTCTTTAATACTTAATAACTATTTTTAACTTTCTTTTATACTTTTGAAAAGAATTTATTAATAACAAACACGCACACATGTAAGGAAATAATAAAAATTCCTCTTTTTAATCTTCTGACATTTAATTATATGTATATCTGTTTCATAGAAATAAGAATCTGTGGATATTATTGTTGCATGATGAAATAATGTCGTGCAAAATTTGTCATGGAATTAGCAGCATGTGAGAGATTTGTGTGCATCATTAATTACATTCGTAATATTTTGTTAAACAAATACGCTATGTCGTGTAATAGGTAAAGGCTCAGTTGGCGGAAAAGGCAGTTCAAGCTGCCAAAGCTGCTGAAGCGGCCTTATCGGATAAGGAAGCAATAGTCGAACAGCTGTTAGAAGAAGTGAAGGAAGCACGGTCAGTAGTTCAGGAAGAAACATCTTCTTTGCAACAAGCGCAGGCTAACGTTAATGCTGCAATCCAGGCAGCGCAGCAATCACAAGATCAGGTAGGTACATTAAAAACTAAAATAAAATCATGACAAGTTGTGATTGATAATAACAAGAATAGCGTTTGAACATGTAAATTGTAATCTAAAAAAATATTTTTTTATTTTGGATTATTTACATCATAATTTAAGAAGATTTAATTTATAATAAACACGGGTTTTGCATTTGAATAATTTTCATATTTATGCGAATACTTATTTAGTCAGCTCTTTTAATTTTTAAAGCCACAATCTCCACTTGATTCTTCTCGACCAATAGAGCCAAACGCGATGTTATTGCGACAATTATGAAGGAAAGAACATTTTGAAAAGGAATATATATCATATTTATATTTTAATATTGATTCTCTGTGCAAATTTTTCTATCTTTTTTTATATTTTTTGTTAAGTAAAATTTTTATTTAAGTTTTCGCGCTTTAATTGCTTTTGTATTTCTTTTGTCACACTGTATGCAGTTATTTTTGTCACTAGAATTACTAGGCTGAACATCTTATGTATTTTTCGTATTCTATTGGTTATTCTCTCTTCTGTTCTCTTGGCGCGCGTCGCATTATTTGTAGCCGTGCTGTTACACAGTCAGTTATATGTTGTGTACAAGATTATCATTAAAAATTGTATACAGAAAAATATTTTCGTGTTCGTTTCTCTCTTTCAAACCATAATATTAACATTTTACCTATATTCTCTCTCTCTCTCCCCCCCCCTCTGTTTCTCTTTCTTAGTAAAATTTGTTATGTTAAAATTTTGAATTTGCAATATATGAAATGTTAATTTTGTTTGAATTTAGAACTTTAATGCTATGTATGAAGTTTAAAGCGTTATATTTTGAAACTATATAGTTAAAGACATTGACGAACGCAGTGCGTACAGCCAAATTGAACGCAGGAAACGCGCAGGCAGCCGCGAGCGGAGCGCAGAGATCATTACGAGAAAAAGAGGAGCTACTGGAGGCGGCCAAGAGACGAGTGGACGAACTGTCGAATCAGTTACGAAATGCTCGGCAGGATCTCGTGAACACGAATCGTGCAGCGGCCAAAGCTAACGCTGCTGCTCATGAAGCGAAAGTGAACGCCAGAAACAAGAGGAGATTGGCGAATCTTAGGAGACTGCGAGCGATACACTCAAGTGTGACACGATCTTTCTCGAGATGAGATATATGCAGAAAGCTTATCAAATGCATAATTAGTTACTAATAAGATTATATGCATTTTAATATAGTTTTGGACAATCTTTTTTTTTACAAATATACAGATTTCAAGTTTATGCATATCCTTTATAACGAATGATTGAAAGAAATACAGATTGAATATAGTTTTGGAAGATTGCGCATTGCATATTACTTGACGCGAATTATCTTTGATAATTATGTAAGCATATAATAAATGAAAAAATATTATGTTGATAAAGCGGACTAATTACTGAAATTTATGCAGATTTATAGTAAAAAGATATTGTATTGTTTATTACAAGATAAAAAGTTATATACGTATAAATACATATACATATATACGTATATAAATCCTAAATTGAATGGTAGCCTTATATCGTAGTTTGTAACTAAATTCTTTATATTAGCTTAATAGTTTGCATCAAAAATAATTAGCGCAATGATACAAACTATGTATTATATTAGATTTTTCCGATTAATTTATTACTGTATATTTTACAAAACCAAAAAACAATTTAACATTTATTTATGTAATACATATGCATATTTCTCAAATAATAACTAAAAGAGAAACCTTGAAAAAGTCAAAGATATTATTCTAAAAATTACATATTAGAATTTTAATTTTAATAAATTAAATTTATAAAAATTGACTATAAATTGAGCAAAGATAAATAAGAAATTTTGTTTACTTCAAAAAATATAAGCTATAATGCTTATGTATAAATAATGTATGTAATACTGCAGTTTTTGAAAAGATTGTAATTTAAAAAAAAATTTAATTACGTATTTAATTCTTATTGCTTATATCTAATTGCTTATCTAATTCTATGTAAAAAAGAAACTGCAAAAATTCGCGTAAACATATTTTCGAAATTTGTAAATAGAACCTAGAAACAAATTAGAAAAAAATCCTATTTTTCTTTAATTAAATTTTATTATACATTCTTAACTGAAACGTTTACTCGCTAGATAAAATCACGTAGTTTTATTTATTATCTCAATATTATTTGCGAGTTAGTCCAGCATTATGTAGTAGGCTGTAGATTTTTTCTCTCGAAATTTTGTCTGTTTCTCGGTCGATCACCTGTAATAGCATGTAAATATTATAGAAAGTTACGGAAAGACTTGATTTCCATTTAATTTTGATCCATTTAAAAACGAGATAGAATTAGAAAGCGGCATGCGAAAAGAGTAATTTTGTTTCTTTATTTAATATTACATAAAAGGTAAAAAATATATATATAAAAATTCATAATATAATGCAGTATTATAAACTTATAATACTAGAGAATTGTGTAATATAGAATGTAAAGTTTATTAAATTATTTTATCTTTGTTTATTTATTTATGATAACATTATTGTATAAAAAAATTAATGCACAAAAATTTATATAAATTCTTGTTCTCATATTGTTTCATATATTAACTGTATATAAGAGAAATTAATTATAACAGTTACATTACAAATTTAACATTTTAATATTTGTTTCAAAAGATTTTAGTCTATAATAATGCACTCAAACAGTTAAATAATTAATAATATATGCTTATTAAATTTTACATGATAAGATAAATTAGGAAAATTTGTACCTGCATTTCTTTATCAATAAACCAGGATTCCTTAGCGAGACTAGCAGCAATGTTTGGATTTTTATAGAAATTATTTCGTAATTCATTAGACAAACTGTCTTCCATTGCAGAATTAATTAATACAGCTGGATGCGTAAGAACTGTGTCTTGTATCGCATTTTCAGGTGATATAAGAAAGATCGGCAAAGGAACGCAAGTTGACATTAGGCTGAACAGAATTATAGCATTCATGCAGATAGTCGGCATTTTTCTTGCACTTTGCTGTAAAATTAGAATATGTCTTTGCTCAAAGCAAAAATATAATTATAACATAAAATATAATTACAATATACAATCTGAAAATAATGCTTAATTATTGAGATCAATATGTAAAAATACGGTCCAATCTTTGTCACATATTTATGTATTTAAGCATTCTTTCCACATTATAATATTAAACAAATAAAATTTAAGCTTTGAAAAATGTAAGTATATAGTGTTAAATATAACTACATAACGTAATAAAACAGAAATATAATTATTTTTATTCTCGCCGTTTTTATCAATTTGTCTTGTTGTTATACATTTTTAATTTAATTTAAATACTTTTTTTATGCAAAAATTGTTTTTTTAACGTGTTACAAATTTATAAACTTATTTTTACGCATTTTTAAAGTAGTGTATTTCAATATTTTACAATTCTATATTTTGCAAATATCACTTATGCAAATAAAATTTATTGATTTAATAAAAATTGATTCAAATATAATGTTATTTATATATGTTTTTTTTACACATTGCACTGTAAACACTATGACTGCAAACGTTGCAGGCTCTGCATTAAATAATTGTAAGTACTCTTACAAACATACAATTCACCTTTTAGACGCTTCAGAAATTGATAATATTTTGCAACAATGCTGCATATACTTTATCCGTGTGTAACTGAGTTTAAAATCCGTCGTAGCAAAGCTTATATACATGTTGCCATTACCCGACCAGTCTTCTTGGAGTACGAGTTAAAATTATATTCAACGTCCCTTGATCATTCACTAATATAGAGACTCGTGCCAATTCCTTTTTTCGCGTTTACCTTCAAACAAGGTCATTAATCTTTCGTTGAACTGACAATGAGTCAAGAGTGACAGTCTTTTCAATCGTTGCTTTAATTAGATATCAAGCAAATATATAGTATTTATATAGAGAGTATTCATCAATTTGATACGATTTTGTTGCATCGTTAATTAAATGTCGAAAGAAAATATAAGTTATAAAAGTTTGTTATGTTTCACACGCGTTTGAATTAAGTGTGATTGGAATCAAATTGATCTGTTATATCTTCCTCGCAATCGAGTTTAACCACATATATCAATATAGCATTTATAATAACTGTGTCTGCATATGCATATATATATGTATGTATATTTTATGGTATTGCGCAATCAGATGCTGATTCAAATTATCTGACTAATTTGCACTACTTTTTCTTTCTAGATATTGTATTATATAAAAAAATAGAATGATTTAGATTCCATCATTTAAACTTTAAACATCATTTAAAGAAATAAATATTGTAAAAATATAACAATATAAAATTTTTGTTAGACTTATAATTATACAACTTTGAAAATCCTTTTTATAGCATTAAAATATATATCAAATTTATATAACTGTTATAATTAATAAAAACGTAGATATTTGAGAATCGCCAGACAGAATTTAAAAAGGTAAAACTCTTCTCTCGACCGTACTGGCAAATATTATTTATTAAATCACAACGTTTCGACCCTTCTTTGAGTCCTTATCAAGTGATTTGTGAAATTATAATTTTATTTTTATTTTCACAAATCACTTGATAAGAACTCAAAGAAGGGTCGAAACGTTGTGATTTAATAAATAATATTTGCCAGTACGGTCGAGAGAAGAGTTTTATTTTGTTATAATTAAATACACACATACACACTTATATATTTATTTATACATGTAACGTTTATTTATTATTTATATAAAAATTTTTATTTATATCAATTTACATAAAGTGTGTTTATATTAAAATATATAATGTATAAATTTTAATGTATTAAATGTTTATTTTTATTTGTTTATTATTAAATAATATCACAAAAATCTAATAAATATGAAAAAATGAATTATATATATGTGTAGTTCATACAATTTGTTGTATTTCAAATCATATAGCTTATACTATTTTTCATCAATTTAAATATCGTGATTTTATTGTATATATTATCAGCAAAATAATTTTCTTAATCGAAATAGATAAGAGAATGGAACTACCTTGTATTATTGAGGTCAATGTTATGACCTTACAAGTAACTAGTAACAGAGTGGTTATCCTTGTTGAGTTGAACGCAGAAAGGTTTCAGGAAATCATTTAATACTTGCTATTATAGGCTATAATTAGTTCATAAAATATAGAGAAAACAATTTTTTTTTATATAGAGCATTTTAGAGAGCATCGTATTCAATATTCCTGATAAAAAAATCGATAAAAAACAATAGAAAACGATTGCATAGTTTTTAATCATAGTTTCATAACTACGATAATTGTTTTTAATCGTAGTTACGAAACTACGATTAAAAACAATTATTGAGTACGATAAATTTTCAATCATTTTTTCTCGATAAATTCCAACAAAACGATAAAAAACAATATATCACCATAAGAATTTTATCGTATTCTAACGACTGAATCCGATTGATAACGGAAAATGAAAGCAAACGATAAAAAATAATGATAACACTTCTTTCGGAATATAAAAATTGAAACAATAGGTTACGATAGGAAACGATAAAAATTTTTTTCAAATCTTATCGATTTTTTATTGATTTTTTTATCATGTATATCTATTATATTTTTACTGTTACATTTTATGCACATATGTAGTGTGTAAAGCAAAGCAAAACTAATAATAAGTGAGATAAACGGCAAAAAAAAAGAAGAAATGAGGAAAACTACAAATTTTATATAAAATGTGTACAACCAATACATTATAAAAAATTTATTATTTATCGCACAAGTCTCACTGCTATTATGAAAAGTTCTTTATTCATTATGATTATAACATAAAAAGCATTGCTCTCTACATGTATATTACATATTATTTACGACAAAAAATAAATATTGCTTTTTATAAAAAAATATGGTCAAAAAGTTTACGCATTCAATAATTTAGTCATTGTTAATTATAGACTTATTTTTATCAAAATATGAGCAAAATTAGCAAAGACTATTTATAAAACGTAATTGTTTGTCGTTTTCGAAACATTATACAGACGTTCTGTTCAATATCTTTTTTTTTCTTCCGTTCTGACGAAAAATACTCATTGTAAAATTTGGATAGCGGATGCAAATTAAAACCAATATTCTCAATTCTATATTTTATAAAAATATTGGAAGAAAAAAAAAGATGGTTTTCTTATAAACTAGAATTGCGACATGAGTTCTTGCAGGCGCAAGAGTTTTGCTAATGACCGGTATGTATCCATACACTTGCACATGATCAATATAAATATAATTTAATGTTGTTGAGTAAGGTTTAATGTTAAACAATACTAATTACAATAATATTATTTTATGTAATAGGATAAAGGTCACATTATATTTATTACATGCTTTTTATGATGCTTTAGTACAATTGTACTCTAAAATATTTTTCTGAAATTATTGATATTCTTTTTTTATTTGATAATTAGATTTTAAGGGATTGTGATGATGAATAAATTGACATGATGTATTTGATAATATGAATGATAAATAAGATTGTAAATCTTATTAACATCATGCAAACATTATCTAAATTATATTACAAAATAATTAATTTACTAAATACTACACGATAAAATTAATTTATTAAATTAACCTTTCTCCTATTGTGTATTTAGGCAATGTAAGTAATTTGAATAAAAAGATAAGATTTCATAGCAAGCAGTACTTCGTTTTCTTTCGTATTGATAAATATTTGAAAATGGAAGACATCATGTGTACTATAAAGCAAAATTTAAAAAAAATTTTATTAGCTAAAATTCTACTACATATTTACAAAAAGTATATAAATTAATAAAATTATTCGACTCAATACCGTCACACGAATAAATTTCTAACAATCTTGCGTAACATTAAATTACAAAATACTTCCGATTATATGCCAATTATTATATAATAATGTACAATAAAATAAACTTATCTGCATTTTCTCTTATACATGAGTGCTACTTTGATTTTTTAATCTACTGTAAAATATTCGATGTAATTTTATAATTTATTTTATTTTATAAAATCAGCATAAATCTGCTTTCCATTCTTCAACTCTTTAACAGATGCAAATATAGTTAATTTAATATAATTTATCCATAATATAATTGATAAAATCTATTATCAAGGAAATATTATTAATGTTCAGGATCAAAATTGTGTACAAAATGTTTATGCATAAATTGTGTACACAAACGGAACATTTTCTTTTTTTCTTTACTGACAATAAGTTTATAGACTAAATAAGAAAACATTGAAAATAGGTTTAAAAAAGTTATTAGTCGCAAAATAGTGAAGAAAATTAACAAATTGATATGAAAATTTGTTCGTGCAACCGCCTAAAAATTCACAAATCATAAAAATTAAAAAGAAAAAGCAAGGAAATTTAAATAATTCTCTCATAAGGAATATTTTCTTGAGCGATTTCATGTATATACTTACTATTTATGAGATTGGATAAAAAATCGGGTATAGTATTATACATGATACAAAACAAACAAATTTAGAAGAAAAATAACATTTTCGGAAAGTTTCTAATATTTTGCTATCATTTTTTGACGACAAGAAAGTCTACGCGACTATTATTCGTTATTTTTAAATGACGGTTGTCTTGTACCAAAACTGGGCTCCAAGGGAACTAAATAAGTAATCTTTTCATTAGTATTGATATTGTCCTCTTTGAGATCAGATGTATTCTTTCTAGTGGGTCTTCGCGATCGCTGTATGACCTCCTCATACGCGACATATTCAGGCCTAGCTACTGGCCGTTGTTTCTTCAAGTAATAAACGGCGGAGGTATTTTCCGGCATGTAGCTTTGCTGTGTTGATTTAACTGTTTGAGGTATCGGAGTAACGCTATAACCGGCATTAATCAGGGCAGACAATTCTTCTTGATTCAAAGGTTGTTGATTTTTAGACGAGGGTATACGTACAACTTGAGGATTGTTTGCTTGATCTTGATCGATAATTTCCTCGATAGTGAGAGACTTGATGGGTGACTTTTTCAAGAGACCAGACTGAGAAATGTAGACGGAGGATTGAGTCGGTGTAACCTTCAGTTTGTGCACTTGTCGAGGTTGATTGATAACAGGTTGAATATAAATTTGTTCTTCAACCCTGGAATCACGGTTGGTAGATGTAGTAGTAGACTCTGGCTTAGTTACTGATCTAGGAGCATAGGTGGAGCCGGAAACCTGATACTTGTTTACGTCGTCATTGGTAAAATAATTATTGGGAGACGGAAGTTTGGGAGTATTAGGTAGAAGGTACTGAATGACTGGTGTGCCGTCGGGATCTACTTTCTTAGCCTCAGCCTGGGCTCGGGCGGCTGCCAGAATCTCGCTGTTAGCTTTGGCGCGTGACTGTTGATATACTTTATACAAAGCTTCGGCCTGAGCCTGTGCCAGCGCCTGTGCTTGGGCTTGGGCACGTAATTGATTTCTCTCAAAATTTAAAGCATCGTGATGAGCCTTTTCCTGGGCTTTTACATGAGCATGTTGCTGAGCTTCGACTTGGCGTATAGCTTCGGCATGAGCCTTATATTCAGCATCTGTTTGAAGTCTTCTGGCCTCAGCGGCTTCAGCAGCTGCCTGTGCCTTTAACTTGGCTCTATAAGCAGCCTCTGGATCTTTTGGTTCCAGTCGACCCTCGATATGAGCTCGTCCGGCTTCGCTGACGTGATCTCCTTGTTGAATTTGTTCTAAAGCGGTTTGCTGCTGTCTATATCTCTCGTGATCAATTCTGATTTGTTCCAGAGCAGCCTCGTGATGTTTCTGATACGATGCCTGGGCGATCTTTTGGAAAGCTAAGGCTTGCGCTTCAGCATGGGCCTGAGCCCTGGCATTCTCCTCAGTATTAGCCTGAACTTGCGCTTGATGGGTTTTTAGCTGTGCACCGTCATCTACATAATCATATTGCGGGGACGGTCTAAAAGGTTGAACATTCTTTGTCGCGTAATCTGCTGCTTGCGCTGTTTGATATTGAAGCTGAACTGGTTGTTCAATCGACTGGTATGTCGCTGCAACTCTATGTTGCTGCGGTGGATAACGAGGGGGAGGACTAGTCTCAATATGATATTGCTCGGGTAATTGCGGAGACGCCGGTGCTACTGTCGATTTTATATATCCTTGTTGTGAATAATCTCCTTTAGACTGTGCCGGAATTAGATTAAACTCTTGAGCCTGATTGGCGGATACTAATTGTAGTAATTCTTGCTCAAAAGTGCCTAATTTCGGTGAGGTGTAAGACTCTACTTGGTACGTGGATGCTCCGGACGGGCCGCGAGCCTGCTGCAATGCCGCAGCACGATGCTGTGCCTCGACATCTGCTTGAACTTGCGCTACAGCTTCGACCTGAGCTAATGCTTGTGGATGCAACTGAGCTCTCGGTCTGGGAGGAACTACGGCAGGTTTGCGGTAATTGTAATATGCTTGTTGTAACGCCTGCTGCTGTTTGGCATAAGGTGGAAGCGGTCTGCGTTGAGCCACATTACTCGAGCTTGTGTACGGCTGCGGTTCACTTCCGGTAAATTGTTGCAAAACAGCTAAATATTCGGGCGACAGCTGAAATTTACAAAGTATTTTATTTATTATATATACACATACACACACACACACACACACACACACACACACACACACACACACACACACACACACACACACACACACACACATATATATATATGTATGTATAGAGTTATATAGAGTGTTTTAGGTCACTCGTCTACCTCTTTTTATTTTGAAAATAATTCAAAATTATGAAAAACCGCGACATACGTGTTTGATTATTTCGAGGGACTACTCTTTTAAGAAGATTTCGAGGGTTGTCTTTTCAAGGGTACCTCAGGAGAATCTCAATTCAAATATATGGAATCACCCATATTGTATAAAAATATTAAACAATCAAAACTGAATTTTTTATGGAAAGAACTTAGAAGAACGAACACTTTTATCCTTGAACGGTTTTTTGGGATTGTCTAAAACGTAGTATATGTTGAAATTGGTCTTCTTTGAAATTTAATCCTAAATAACTTTTGAACGGGTCAATGTATCAACTTCCGGTTTGGGTCAGAAATTTTCTTATTTTATGTCTTTTCAACAGATACACTACAATATGATTGGTTTCATTAAAAATGTTTGAGTTGGGAGTCTCCTTCTTGGGGAACGTTTGCTTTTAGGAATAATCATCAATACTCTCTTAATAGAATAGTTCTTTGAAATAATCAAATACGTATTTTGCGGTTTTTCATAATTTTGAGCCGTTTCTAAAATAAAACGGATGGACGAGTAGTCTGAAACACCTTATATATATATATATATATATATATATATATATATATATATATATATATATTAGCAATGTGTGTAAAGGCAGCTATACACAAGTGAGGTGAAGTAATATTTGACAAATTTTAAATAGATAAAAAAATTTTTAATTATTTAAAAAAAATTTTAATTATAAGTTATGTACACACAAAGTGCAGCCTTATATACAGTCGAAAACAAAACAGGATATATTAAATGGATAGCTATTGTGTAACAATGGTCGTCTATATATGTAATATAGTCATTATCTCTATTCAACTCTCTTAAATATTATAATGTTAATTAAAGATATAAACAAGGATTTTTAAAAATAATTTAAAAGCGATACAAACGTAAGAAACAGTAATTATAGATAGTTACTGTAATGTTTGATTGAATGTTGAATCTAAGTGTTGAACTTGATCTTATGAACAGATGGGAAGCGAATCGTCGAAGGTTATCGCTCCGTGAAAGTATTTGCGAGTATATTAGCGCAGCAGATGAGTCAATAACCCATAAAGAAGCTAATAACACGAAAGTAAACCGTAACTTCTTGACTCATTGCACTGTAACGCAAGGTCACAGAGAAGATATAATTGTTCGCGGTTTGATAAAATTGGAAATCTATACTCGGCTATAAGTGGGTGTGGCTGTATCGGTACTGTCAGGTCAGAGCGATTAGAAGGCGTGTAAACTTGCCGAGTTATGCAAGCGAGCGATTGCATTCGAGTACGGTATTGCCAAGCGATCACGAGCGAGCGCGCAGGAAGTATTTAAAGATATATATGTCTTTTAAAGCAATACAACAATAATACATAATATAATTATGGAATATATAATTACAGAATATAAATAAATGGAATTTATGAATCCGCCAATGTATCAATTTGACATTGTTTACTAAATTGATGTACTAATAAATAATATATCGACATTTATATTTATGTTTTGTATGCCATGTAATACATTATGACGAATTTTTAAATTTACAAAATAAATTTCTATTATTTATTATAATTAATTTATATAATTTATATTATTTATATTCTAACAAAATTAATTCTGTCTAATTTATACAATATATTATATAAAATTATTTGAACTTATTTTAAGATTTATATCATAGCGATAAAAAGAGAAAAGAATTATTGTAGATCTTACAATTTACGTGGTTGCAAGAAATACATTATGTATGAATAGATTATTATACGATTCCTTTCTAATATAATTTTTCTTTTAGCCCTGAAACAGGAATATAATCGAGGCCTGAATATACATATACTGAATACATACAATATAGAACATTTACTGTTTCGATGAAATATTTATTCAATTTTTTTATCAATTTTTCCTATTCGTTACTCGATTAACTAAATCCAAAAATAAAAGTATGTAATATTAAAGAAACGACCGATACTGGACTAAAAAAGCTTTATTCTAATTAAAATGTCATGACGTTTCGACCTGTGATTTAGGTCGAAACGTCATGACATTTTAATTAGAATAAAGCCTTTTTAGTCCAGTATCGGTCGTTTCTTTAATATTACATACTTTTATTTTTGGTTTTAATTTTATACTGGCGAATTGATTTCTCACACTAAATCAATTAAGACAATTTATATTAATCGATTAACTAAATATTACATACATACATACATACATACATACATACAAACATACATACATACGTACATACATACGTACATACATACATACATATATACATACGTACATACATACATACGTACATACATATGTACATACGTACATACATACATACGTACATACATACATACGTACATACATACATATACATATACACTCATATACATATGTATACATACATAAAAACATATATAGATATAATGACTAGATTTTTGAAATATCTATTATATATAACAATTCTATTTATTTTTATTCTCAAAATGCAGCACACAATGTTTGTAAATAACATAAATCGATAATAATTAATAATTGTACTAATATTTTAAGTTTATATGAACTTTATTTCTTTTATGAAGAGATTAACGAGTTTAATAGGGAATAGAGAGGCGTTCGATATTTTATAAGTCTTGTAACATAGAATGTACAATCTCTCGCTATCCTCGAAGTACACTGGTGAAATGAAAATCCTCGTACAAGTAACGAAAGTAATGTGGAGTTGAGCCATGACTACTATCACATTGCGTCAGAACGCCTAGATCTTGAAGGCGGACCTAGGCGTTCCTCTCTGTATGCTGCCATTCGTTTCAAGTATCATAGAAAAATGATCTGTTCATGGCTAGTTAGTCAACACGTTAATGGGTAATAAGCGATTAATAGTCATGGTTGATCAATGACACTAATGATTGAAACAATGACACTGATTATTGAAATATTTGATATTAAACATTTAACGGTGAAATCAATCACAATATTAAAATTTAAAGGATCTAGTATTATTATGTCATACCTCTCTGCTTTCATCACCGTGGCGAACAACAAATTGGCTGACTGGAGGTTCGTAAATGGTGCTACCGGAAACTGGTGACCTTTTAACAGGATCTTTGATATCGATCTCCAGCAGGACAATATCATCGACATTGTCCGATGACGTTTTCTTCGCGATATTGGCAATGGTTTCTTCTCCAACGGAGACTGTCAAGAGACCTGTTAATTTTAAATAACGTAACGTATATAAACAGTGAATGAGATAAGAAAAAGAAGGTGGGATATAGAAATGCTTTTTGATTATTCTTAGATATTTTATGTAAAAAAATGCGTGTTATCCAAATTAATTTTCTCTTTATTCAATAAATATCTTTTATTACAAAATATATATATTTTTTAATGACATCTTATTTGTGTGATATAAAATACGTCCATCCCTTTAAGAATTTTGTTCTATCGTTTATTGCAGATGTCAAATCCCATTTAAATATTGTTTTGAAATACTCATCGAATAATTGAACGTAGAAGTGACGTTTATATCGTTCTGCTTGACCGCGAGTGCTCAGAACAGAGCTGGGAAAGCAATGCAGAGAAAGTTACAATCGAACGTGCACTCGAGAAATTCTTCCCACGGATTTTGCTTTCAACGTTTTCAAGTATCTCGTCGTCGTGGAAAGAAATAAATAAAGATCAATATACTTACAATAAGTCTATAAACAGTTTCCTGGCAAATTAAAACGTATTATATTTAACATACATAATTTGGAAGTAATTTAGCATTTATTGTATTATATAAGGCATTCACGCACTATATTTTTTAGAATTTTTATACATATATACATTTTAATATATATATATATATATATATAATTTTTATATATATAAACATTTTTACATATATATACAGGGTGTTTCTAAAACTATGTCAGAGATTTTAAGGGTGTATTTTAGAAGTCTAATAAGAGAAAAAATTTCTATATAAACATATAAGTCCAAAAATCTTTTCCCTCCGAGTTATTGCCTTCTGTTGGAAAGGGGGGGGGGAATCGAAAATTATATTGTAACTTTCGGAGACTTTTTTTCAGATTGCTGCAAAAGTCTTTTTCTCAATGTTGAAAAAGTCTCCGAGAGCTACACACATACATTTTTCGATCTTTTTATTCAACTTTAAGGGGACTCGGAGGAAAAGCATTTTTGGACAAATGTTTATAAGAACTTTTTTCTTTTATTTTGATTCCTAGAATACACATTTAAAATCTCTGACACAATTTTAAAAACACCCTATATATAAAATTACTATATTACGAGATATTTCATATTTATTATTTTGACAAAATTGTCAGAATGAAGTATAAAATATCTCTAAACCATTAATTTTTCGATTATTCAACTCTAACAATTTTGTATGCCAAAAATTACGAGGAATCAATTTATGTAAAAATAGTATAGAGTAATTCCATTTAAAAAAAGTAAAGATAACTTCTAAAATACCTCTACTTAGAATAACTATGTTTACAACAAGATGTCTCCCTCGAAATCCTACAATTTTTGTATATAAAACATTTTTGATGAAAGTCTTGGTTTCTAAGAAATTTCAAGTTAAAATGGGATACACAATATGTATGTATATTTGTGTGCGTGTGTGTGTGTTTCCATAAAGTTCTAAAAGATTATGGCATCTCTTGTTTAAAGTTGAATAAATGTTTAAAATTAATAAAGAATGATCAATTATAATAAGTTTTGCATTTAGTCTAAATAAATTTTGCAATTAATTAAATTGATAAGTGTATTTTCAAAATTATGGCGATATCATAAGATCATCAATATGTGATGTCATTTTTTAAATTTATTTTAATTAAAAAAAAATTTTTTAAATTATTTTGATTTTTAATGTCAATTGAGTTTTTAAAGGCTAGGTAAATTTTGATTGATTTATATTAAAAATTTGATTTATAATTTAAAAGACATTTAAACTATAATGTAAAAAAAGTTTTAATAATAACAACAATATAACAATTGTTCAAAATTTTTTAATATTAATAAGTAGTAAAAAAAAAGTAAAAAAAGCAAAAAAAGTAAAAACAAAGTAAAATAATAGAAAACAAAATGTTTTAATCAATATAACAATTGTTCAAAATTTTTACTATAGAGAAAGAAATGTCAACTTTGTCAAGGATTCTAAAGAATAATCAAAATATAATATAATAATAATAATAATAATAATTAATAATAATTAAAAACGAAAAAATTTTGTCGCGCATTTGCTCTCATTCCCTTAACTACCACGTTTGAACGCGATCATGCAGATCTTTTTGAAATTACTTAACAGAGGAAAGCGTGTACGCAGTCCGGTCAGCTTTCCTTCCTTTGTTAGTCCGTGAGATTCCGCGGATGTGAGTAATTTTTCCTGCGTTGAGTAATACTATGTACGCGTCCTTAGGTGGAAGGCGCGGTTAAGTAATATCCGTCATTCCGCGAGCGCGCGCCCGCGCGATTAACAAATCTTACCTAATTAACGCTTCGCAGAGTTTGCATCTCTGCTGCGTAAAAGTTGTAATATAGAAGTAATATGTTATAACATAATAATTATATAAATTGTAATCATAGTAGATTACGATTCATTTATTTAAAAATAATGTCTCATTTTGTTCTGTATATTGTGTATCTTCTAACCAAAATTCTAACAATTGTTACATAATTTGTGTTAAACAATGTATGTACAGTCGTGGACACAGAGATTGCGATATTTTATATTTTATATTATTCTAACACATTTATATATGTTTATATATTTATATTTATATATTTATATTCTATTATTGTGCTGTCCCAATTGTTAGTTGTTTATTTATGCATATAAAATTAATGTGTTATATATGTTTTTGACAATTATTAAATTACGTAACTTTTAAAAACTTGTACAAATAAATAACAAGCTCAGATATTCTTTTTACGGGGTTTTAAAGAAATGAGAATGACTTTTAATGGGAATTGTGAAATATAAAAATATTCAATATAGAAAATTAACAGATTACAATTATTTTTCCAATAGTATTTTAATAATATGTCTCGTGTAAGATTTTATATTAATATTGCTTTTATAAAATAATTTATATAAGACTACATTGTGTAATCTTAAATAAGACTATGTTGAATTTGTTACAAAAACATTCTTTTTATATTATAATCAACAAATTATAGCTTGTGGCATTGTTCTAATTGGATGTCTTAATATTGCAAGATTGATATATGAGAACGTGTCGAAAAAGAAAGATATTTTCTAATGAACGAACTCTCTCCTGGCTGTGCTCCCACATAAAAATATTAATTATATCTGACCTCCTTCGCGCTTCAAACTATTATATTTGCGTAACATCGGAAGTGTGGTCTAACGTTCTCACTGTGAGAAGAGTATAGCAATTTACAAAGTCAGAACTTTCTATGTCTTTTCTCCTATCTTTACTCCTTTCTTCTCTCTCTCTCTCTCTCTCTCTCTCTCTCTCTCTCTCTTTCTCTCTCTCTCTGTCTTCTCATCAACATAATTATCATTAAACAAAAGTTTGATCAACATTATGCGAACACAAGCTGTCTTTCAAAACTATAACATATTAAAGTCAATCTGTTCGAGCCATATGCTGTATTAGAAATGAAATTAGTGATGCAATTGAAACAATGCAAAATAATATCATCGACCTTTCACTCTCGTATAATCTTTCCTATATACAATTAGATTGACATAGAGATTTCTCAAGGCCTCGTACACTATTTTGATTTTATTATGTCAAGAAAATGTCTAGATAAAATTTTCTTGCAAATTGATACTTTAAAATAATATTCAGTTTTTTTTAATTGAATCTTGTTTACAAGAAAAAAAAATTAAGCAAAAATTTATTAAAAAAGGAATTACCACTTATTATATTTATTAAAAATCTATTTCAGATATTATATTATAGAAGAATATCTAATAAAATTCGAGATATATTACATACAAGATAATATACAATATATATTATATATTTACCATTAAATGCAGTTTTCATTTTATTTATACTCAATGCTTCTTGTTGTTCGAAAAATATTCAAATATCAATAGTAGCTTTTAATAATTAAAAATAAAATGTAAAAAAATTTAGACTTAATATATGTTTTAATAGCTAAGTAAATCGTAAAATTGCTAATCTAATTGTATTATAAGATTGAATAAAGAAAATTAAAAGCATACTTAAAATAAAACTAATAAAATAAAAACTTATTGAAACAAAAATAATAAAAGATCTTTGAGAATGAAATATCGTAAAAAGATGGTATGCGCAGCGTTATACGAGCATATACTGTCGTATACTATTACTAACAGTTTTCACTTTTCGTTCTAGCTTTCGTTCTAGCTGCGCGCAGACTTCCGCCTCGACCACGGGTTATCGTACTCATACCTGCTCGCACGGATGATATATATATATGTGTGTAAATACACACACACACACACACACACACATGTATATACACATATGTATAGCAAATATATGAGTCTACATTTATAATTTTAATATCTACATTTCTATATAGATAAATATCATCCTACACTATAAAATAATGATGTAAAAAAGAATTTTAGATATATTTTCACGCTTGATAAAATTTATACTCATAATTATGCATGCGTACGAAAGTACCTTCCTTTCGACTACTTTCAGTTTGCACGCTGGTTGTTGTAGCCACAGTTTCGAACTGTGTTAGAAAGGCGATACCATTCGTTTGCACAGTATGTTTGACGCGGATTTCTCAATCGATAGCGATATAAGCGTGAGATTTTTTGTCCTGATCGTGTCATACTTGTGATCTATAAAACAAATAATTTTGTGCTCAAAGTAAATCTAAATAATCTCTGTAAATATATAAATGAGAGAACAATCGCGATGAGACGAGTATTCACGTTTCTCGATTTAAATATATAAAAAATGACAAATGTAATTTTTTTACAACCATAATTATCACTAGAAACAAGACTATCATTATATTATATAGATATAAAAGTTTTAGAAAACAATTGATAAAGTTAATTGAAAATATAGCTATCTGCGTAATTTTATAGATATAACATTTGATCATATTATACATATCTGTTAAAACATATGTATATTAGATATATATGTATATAATATATATACCTATCTATAGTAATATAATATTTCTTGTTCAATAGAAAATGTGAGATAATCTTTATAACACAACACAAACGCAAAAACACACACACAACGCGCGCGCGCGCCCTACGTCATGTATTATACTGTACATATAATCATAAATTAAAAAAAATTAAAATTAATACAAAAATTTAAAATATTTTATAATTAAATATGACAAATATTTTGACAAACTCAAGAATGTAATATCACTCCACATAAGTATATATAAAAATATCTATCTTGTTATTCTTATGGCGCGTCGACGTGAAACATGTCAATAACACGCAATAGAAAGGAAATGCATTTCTTAATTTCATACTTTTTTGTCGTGAAGCGAAAGATCATGAAATACAGATGCTTCCGGCTTCTCGCGCAATCATCATTACGTAGATTCCTTTCAAAGGTGAGAAAATCCGATAACTCAGCATTAAGAGAAGGATGTTTTGCAAGCAGTATCATAAAGGGATTATAAAGAAATTCGCAAAAAGAATAAAATTACATAGAAAATGTATCGAGTAGAAAAATTAAAAAATTGCAATATATGTATACAGTTTCTGCATAAACATGTATCAGAAGAGCAACTTTTTATTGATCACTACATAAACATTGTCATCGATATATTGCTACAGCATTTAGAATGAACATATTAGAATCAATTTAAAATCCGATAATATATTTTAGTTATATCATTAAAATGATATAATATATATATTAATAAAAAAGAATAATGATGTATTAACATACAATTACATGTATAAATAGTATTGTAAAAAAATCTTTTATATTGAATATAGAATATAGAATATACATATACAGCTATATACAGCTATAAACGTAATATAGTAGCGTTCTATTATTTGTATAAACTACAAATTTTGCAATCTTAAATATGATAAAACGTAAATATAATTTTTGGATATGTAAATGAACACTTTGTTATGTAAAGCGTTAGAACTATCTTTACGCAAGTATAATAAATCTAACACCGGAAGTACAATCGGCCGATAATCTGGAAAGTCGGTGCAAATTATTAGTGATTTTACATTTTATACATTCTTGTCTCTTGTTATAAGTTAACTGTATTGATTTTTATTTATAGACTCTGAAATCGAATTGACTTTCCTATAATCGTATAACCGAATAGGAAGTGATGACATGCATTTTCGTAAAATTTTTTTTCACAGTACATTATTTTCTCTTTTCATCTGTGGAATTTTTTATCAAATATAGTATGTAAATAAAGTATAAATTGTAAAGTTTTAATTATAAATAAGACTTTGAATAAAATCAAAATTACGCGGAAATTTTTTCTTATCCAACATTCTAATGTTACATATTTATAATTGTTAACAATAGATTTACCATTATGTACAATCAAAGTTGTACAGATATGTATGTATAGTATATTTATATTGTAGATATGGGTTATTCCATGTTAAATCGACCACCCAAATTTTCTGCTAAAAATTGTATTAAAGTAAATCCAACTTGTGAGATATCATTTAGCTTAAACTTTCTAATTTTCGATGCTGTTCGGAAATTAAAAAATTAGTAATAATGACCTTGATTTTGTCGGTCAAATGGAAAATGATGAGTGTTTTCTAGTTTAAAGCTCTATATTTATTGCAGATGAAGTATAATATATTTATATTGTTATATATAAAAAATTTTTTATCGGGATGATATTATCATTTTAATTTTATATTGTGTAGAGATTTCAGCTTGAAGTGTTATATATATGTATTTGTGTCATTTATTAATAACTTAATATACAACATTTCTATAATAAGCGAAATCTTATATGAAATCTCTATAAAATTTCTTTATTTAAACCTTTATAATATATTAGAAACACACACACACACATAATTTTTATTAAATAATATAAACGCAAATTGAGCTATTTTCTTGTACTTTTCTTATTTAAAAAATACCAAAATTATATATTTGTATGGTACGATAAAATAATCCGAAATGCAGTTTTTAAAACTTTCTATGAATGTTCCTATTCTACAGTATTCGTTTTTTGCACAAAACACACACGTGTTGCAATAAGAAACACACGCGTGAAATATCGTCGCACATACACTTCGCAATGTTTTGTCCACAGGGCAGATGAAAAAAAAACAATGGAAACAATAGGTTGTAAGCACTTTTACAGTGAAATAGCTTGTGAAAAAATGTTATTCTTTTAAAACGTAATATATCGCACTCACCTATAAAAATAAGCAGCCACATGGTGAGAGCAAATGAGTGACGGAGCGCTGAACGAATGTTGAGTAAATGTGAATTTCTAGTGGCTTTATAGACCGAAGGGAAAGGCCGCGCCTGCAATCCGGATTAGGTGGGGTTCTTCTATCCGCTACTTTTCCATGGCATGTTGTGCACTCAAGTGCACATTACGTTATATATGCATGCCTGGTAATGAGATTTCTTCTTCATTTTCTTCATCTTTAATTATAAAGCACACATTTGAAAAAAATCAGATCAAAATTATTTTATTATATTAATAAAATGCAATATAGCGATGAGTGTCGATTATCATACACGATACATGGCTACTACAAATATTAAAAATCAATGGACAAAGTAAAAAATAAGATAGTTTACATTTATTGCAGTATAGATAGTAATTTTGCAATTTTCTTCGTTTGATGTTCAAATTACATTAGTGTCGCATGAGCGTTATACATATTATAAATAGTTACACTATGCTATTATATTTGTCCCTATTAAGCACACCTTATAAGAAGATAAGTATACTTATCTTCTTATAAAGTGTGTTTTATATGTATATTGTATAAAGTTATTATTGTATAAAGTTGTTATATGTGTATATACATGTTGTATAAAGTTACGTTGTATATTTTTGCGTGATGCACGTGTGCACGTGAGCTGGTGTGACTAAGTGCATACGAAAGACCATTATACAATACGAATGCGAATAATGCTTTGCTCGCTATGAACTGTCGTGGGAAAAGTAATTGACTGAAAGAAAAACAGACTGGATATACATTAAACAAATATGTTTCTGGAGCTCCTTTCGATTTGTCATCGAATGATTTATCATGAATAAATTTATATTCATTTTTTACATATATAGATGTATATATAGTGTATGTATAACCATAGCAAGAGATATAATGAGAGGACAAAAAATAAAAAAATAAAACATATTTTTATATTTCTTAGTGTCAACGCCTATTTGTACAAACTTTTGATATTTTTAAGTGATAAATAATTATAAACACACAACTTTCTCACAACGATAAAATTTTCAAAAATGAAAATTAGTTAATGTTATATATATATATAGGGTGTTATAAAAGTACCGGAAATACAGAATAACTCGAAAAATATGAGTCCTAGAAAAAATGTTAAGTACTGGATTTTTATGATTTTTCCTGGCTACCTGACCTTAGCCAGGAAAAAATCATAAAAACCCAGTACTTAGCATTTTTTCTAGGACTCATTTTTCGAGTTATTCTGCTGTTTTGGTACTTTTATAACACCCTGTACACACACACACACACACACACACACACACACACACACGCAAACACGCGCGCACACACACACACGCGCGCACACGCACACGCACACGCACACGCACACGCACACGCACACGCACACGCACACGCACACACACACACACACACACACACACACATATATATACACATATATGCGACAATAGCTACAAAATAAGTAAGTATTGAATAGAAACATATAAATTAAATGAATGAATAAGCTCGTTAATTTATAAATTAGAGATAATAAAACAACATGAGCCTATTACGAGCTATGTGAATTGATGTCAAACATATATATTTCCAAACTTTACATCAAAATCGTATAAATCTACTTAACAATGAGACGTTTCGACGCTTACTTGCGTCTCTTTAGTCATAATTAGTTAAAACATAGTGAAACGTTGGTTAAGCCAGTACGATGTGATCCGTATATATATAAAACGAAACGTCTCATTGTAAAGTAGTTTATACGATTTTGATGTAAAGTTTGGAAATATATATGTTAGACATTAATTCAAATAGCTCGTAATAGACTCATGTTGTTTTATTATCTCTAATTTATTGAATAGAAAATTCGACCTATATATTATATATACAGGGTGTTCGGTAACTAACGGACCAACGATTACAAATGGATTCTTTGGTCAATTTGGGAACGATTTTTCCTCAGCGAAAATGTCGAAAAAGGTCATCATTTTTTACAACTTTCCAATATTTGTCATTACGTATCTTTATAACTAAGTTTCAAATTAAAATTTTATTATAGTAAACTCTACCTGAAATTAACTGAAGAATGTAATTATGTTAGACTTTTAACTCCAAAACGTTTAGTTTTCAACAAACCCATTTTTTTCAATCGCTTATAACTCGAAAATTATTGACTTCTCAACATTTTTGCTAAGGAAAAATCGTCTCCAAATTGGCCAGAGAATCCGCCCTTAATCATTGGTCCGTTAGTTACCGGACACCCTGTATAAATTTTAAAATTAGATAATAATTAAATAAAAATTTTCCTCAATATATTTCGTATACTTTATAAAAATATATTATTAGCAATTACAATTTCAATTTACGTTGACGCAATAATTATTTCTTGTAAAAAAAACTTGCAGTTTATGTGCCAATTTGATTGTGGCATTCAATCTAGATACACATATATCGGTATCTAAATTTTTTTATAAAACTCTGTAGCATATCGCATGTGCTTCACTAGTGATGCTAATACACTTTCGCATTGAAATTTCATGCTTTTTATGTGCTGTAAGCGAGCATATAACGCGCTTATAATGAAATTCTGATTGCACTAATTCAAACAGACAATAACAAAATGGCAGACAAGTGCAAGGCTAAGCAAGTATTTTACCAATAATATTCTTAATAATTGTCTTGTAGAAAAAATAATGACGAAAAATAAAATTAGCAATGCGTTTTATTAACTGCAAGTATATTAATTTTATAATTTTTAGTATATATATTTAGTAATGTATTGCTGTCTCATTTTAATGAGTTGTTCATTTTTGATGTTCTCAGTTTATAATTTTGTTGTATAAAATATTATATCACTCTATCGTTTATTGCGTAATCGAATAAATCTTAATTTATTGTGCGTGTAAACTTAAAATAGGGAGAGATAGAAGAAAGAGAGAGAGAGAGAGAGAGAGGGGGGGGAGGGAGTAAATATTAAATTAGAAATTCGATGTCATTGCACAAACCACGTAATACACGTCATCTTGTTATTCAAGCGTGACACTTGGCGAGTATCACTTTATGCACGTCAGGCAACTGCATTTGTGCAATAACATATAACCGGAAATGGCACGATCTATCGTATTGTTCGTGTAAGAAATATATTTTCACAACTTGATTGATGGTTTATTATCATTTCGATAATAAACAAATATTGTAATAAAAATAATCACAAACGACAAGGACCGATGAAAACGTTTCTAAATAAATTAGCTTAAAACAGACATTATGAACCACTTTCTAATTACATTTTGAGAGGTGTCTCGTTCTACAACGGGAAATAAATTGGTAAAAGATTGATACTTTTGTTCTACTTTTAACGGTATTTATTAACTGCATGGTAATTGTATCTCTTTTAAGTCATTAACTAAATAATTTGCGCGATAGAAATAAAAGTTAATTACAATGTGGTTTATATTTGTCATAATCTTATATTTATATGACTGGATTTTATTAATTTACATATGTGTGACTTATATTATTGTTAATATCATCATGGATTTATTACAATTATCTAGCTGTATATATATATATATATATATATATATTTATCTGTACAGAATGTCGGAAAATTTACACATTTTAGTTGTTATTTAAAATTACTAAAATTGTATAATAAAAAAACACTCTAGCTTATGCGTGTTTGTATCGATTTGTAAAAATTAAATTTTGTCTATAATTTTAAGCTATGCGGAATTTATATTTTTTCTTCTAATGCGTTAATACAATTCTCACTACATTATTAAACATCGATTTCTGATAAGATTTTATATATAGTATACTATTACTGTATACTAATTATACTTAATACAAAAAATTTTCATATTGTTGACTTTGATTGTTTTTTCTCATCTCATTACGTACGTTCGGCTTTCTTTCTCTTTCTTTCTATTATTTACATATGTATATAGTTTAACATATATTATATATATATATATATATATATATATATATATGTAATATATTTTTTAACATATTATTTATTTATTCATATTCTATAATATTTTCTTAATAAATAAGTAAGTCAATATTAAGCCGGGTATCCACCAACTGCGCAAAACGTTTGCGAACGTTTGTGAATGTCATGAATGCTTGCAAAACTAATATAATAATAATATAATATAATAAAAATATATTTTACAAGCGTTTGTGACGTTCACAAATGTTTGCAAGGTTGGTGGATACTCGGCTTTGGAATAAAGCAACATATATTGTGCAACACATTGGGTCGTATATTGATATTTATTAGAAAAGATAGTTATAAATTTAATAGTAATTTTTTTAATTTTTTTTATTTAAAGTAAAAATATTTTGATTGAATATTTTGTGTCAAGATACTATGTATATTGAATTTTATTAGCACCATGATGACATTTTTATGTATTTCTAACAGAATATGAGAGACTTTAAAAAAACTACATTATTTTTATCATTTGTGCTTTTATTATCCTGTTATAATTTTTAAACTGTGGCGTATTCTCTGTATATCATTGTTTGAATAGATAGAATTTTATTAAATTATTTTCTTTTATATTATCTCAATAGCGCAACATTGACAAATACTAATTTGTTATAAATGTTTTACAAAAATATATATAAAAACACTAGTATAATAATAAATCTATTTTAGTCTCATCTCGCTGCATATCGTAATTGATGTAATTAATTAAAATACACGTTTGTTAATTGTTTAATAACAAATGCAAAGCTTTTATCTAACGGTTTCTTAAGATATGTTTTTATTAAAAAATATATATGTACACACACACGCACACACACCACACACAAACACACGCGCGCGCGCGCTGCCCGTGCTTTGCTACGATAAAATAGTCTTTTTATCGTTGCAAAGGTCTCTGATCGAGGCAATTTTGTACATTAATTATTTTTTTAAGATAAGAATGTTAGATTTTTTAAAGCTAAGATGTTGCTAAGAATTATTATTTATTATGTATAGTAGAACTTGGAATAAGTACCTACCATATATACGAATGTTGCTCTGAGTATATAAACCACTAATTAAAGTAATTTAATAATACTTAAAAATGTTGATTTCTTACTACTTTCCCAGAAAATTTTAGGGACACCCTTCTTAGTGAGCACTTAGGGTATGAGAGGAATTACCGTGCCATATTTTAGACTTCTATCTAGGAAGTAGAAAAATCAATATATTTTGGCCTTAGTCCGTTTGAATCCTTAAAAGTTGATTTTTTAAAAAAATATTTCTTAGTGGGTCCCTATCTTTACTGAACAAATTTTATTCCATTTTATATTTCACACTATACGCGATTGGATATACAATAACGGATTTAGAAGACAATAATTCTTCCTACAATGCAATTATCATGAGAGGGATAATAAAAGCGATTGTTATGTCAAGTGAATATAACTCTAATAAACTTTAGTTAAACACAACTTTAGTTAAACACATACACACATTTATAATACGTATAGCACGTATAATTATGCAATTTGATGTGACTACCCTGTACCTTTGTACGCATCGTGCAATTCAATATTTTAATAAGAAAAATGCTAGTGTACTAATAAGTAACTCTAGTGCATTAAGAAATTATAGAACCTTTTTTACTTATGCTTTTATTTAATGCATATTTATAAAATTTCTATTTATATTTTTTATAAATTGCTGATTTTTTTCAATAGTTCGTATATATTACTCATGGAGCTGATGTTTATAAGTTTACAAGTATACATTTACTGATGTTCTAATTATTATATATTTTGTTATAATAATTTTAGAATAAGCTCGAATGAAAAACCTTTTATAATGATGAAATTGGTAATGTTAGTAATATAAATGCATTGATATTATACAAGAAAGAAATTGTCTCTTTATAAATTCGTTTACCGATCCGTTAAAGAAGTAGTCGAGTAAAATCGCAGAGAAGGTTACAGTTCCGTACGAGACGGTGCGTTGCGTGACTGACCTATCTGTCGTTACCTACTTCATTATTAGTTTCAAACGTCCTAGAGAAAAGGGCAATTCTTATCCGCCTCGCGTGCAACCGTTCCACTGCGCGTTCACAGCCTTTCGATAACGAAAGCGAGCCAGGTAACGTCCTTGACTTTACTTTCCAGTATAGACGCCAACGCTCTTTTTGATTTTCGCAAGAGTTTGTGATCAAGTTTCTCTTATTTTCTGAGTTTTTCAATATTTTCAATTTATTTAATTCTAATAAATATTTTTAATTAAACTTATAATATAATATTTGTGCAATTATTTAGTAAAAACATACAATCATAATAATTTATATAATAAAATTATTATACAAGATATATCCCGAAAATTTTAATATAATTAAATTTTAAATTAGGATAAAATTACTCTACTTTAGTCAATTAAGTTATTATTAATATCATTTTTTATCGTGATCATATGTACTTAGTTGTCTCATGTACCTTTCGACCAATTCAATTTATCTCACGAAAAAGAAGAAATACTCTTTTGCGATACTTTTTTCATTCATTTAACAATATTCTGTCTGCGAACAATATTCACTTTATATATTATCTATATATCTTTCATCCTTCTCGACAGATAATTAATGGCACTTAGATATTTACGTGTGTAAGATATGTGGCCATATATAGAAACGTAACTATTGCTGAGAGAAGACGCGAGTGTATGCGAAAGTCAGGATGTGTCTAGTTAGATTTCGTTGAGTATTCCTATTCATGTCAATGCCACGATTTAATAAATAATTAGATGTATATTATGGACATAATATTTAAATAAATGCGCAATAGATAATTATTGCGCTAACTGTGATATATATCTCGACATAATTGTGCAATCAAAATATCTAAAGAATAAAACAATTTTATTGCTCTTTTTAATGTAATATTATATTTTTTTATTTTTGTATGCTCTCTGTTATTGTGATAAATGACAAATAATATCTTTATTCAAACTTATAACAAGACACAAAAATATTATTAATTGTAATTTTTAAAGTTTTAAGTATTTCGAAGACAAATGTTTATATTATAAGAAAAATATTATAAGAAAAAAATATTTTCTATACTTTTTTACTGTATTATTTCTTCCATATTATTTCCCTATATTATTTTCCTTACGTTATTTTTTTGTACAAAATTATTTCTTTTCAAATTGTAGCATCGATTTGAGGAAACCTTATAAGTATATCTTTTGAAAAGAAGAAAAAAGAAAGCTATAATGACTCTCTTTTGATTAATCTCACGCATCAATCTCACTTTCGCTATACTTTTCTCAAAATTCCGCTGTACATACTTTCTTCATATCTTTCATTATCTCAGTACTTGCCTTTCTGCCTTTGAATAAACGAACAATCGACATTGAGTGTAAATTGAAGAATTGATATATTGAGAATAGCAAAATAAAATTAGAAAATTAATCGTATCATTAAAAAAAAACTTGTTGATTTTCCATCGTAAAGAAATAAATGTTTCTATGCTTGTTGATTATATTTGTTTTTTCTTTGTATATTAATAAAATTTGAACAAAACAATTATAATTAACATTTATGTAAAAATAGTAAATTATATGACAAAATTAATTAGCTATTTAACTAACATTAAACTATAACAATCTTCAATCTTTGTCGAATTGCGTCCTTTGTCTCCTTTGGTACATATGGATTTTTTAATGGATCTGCATTTAGTCTGTAAACATGAAAAAAAGAAAGAGAAAAAGATGTAGATTAGTATATAGAATAAAGCCGATTTATTACTATCAACGTTTATTTAATAGATTAATAAATTTCCGATAATTAACAAATTATTATGTTGCTGTAAAATATTTTCTAATATATATTATATATAAATAAATATATATATATAATATATAAATATATATTGTACATACAGAGTGAATAAAAGTATGTTTTAATTTGTGTGTTCTCCTCTAGATAAAAAAGATTAACAAATGTTCATATGAACATATGAGCGCAAATGCTTCGTTATCATAATAAGTAACATAAATCCGTAGTATCAAATAATGATTTATGTGATCGTTTTGCTGTTGTTCTTTGATATTCTAGAGATGATTTTCAATATATGCCTGAGCATGAAGTCTATATAACTGGCGCATTCGTTCGAAAATACGAAAAATGTGATAGAATTCCATCGTATAAAAATGAATCAATTATTTGACAAACAAACGCTACCACGACTGATTGAAAGAAAGGGTAAGAGAATTGTTAAATAGGTACTCTATATTTCTCTTATCCCTTGTAAAGAACAACAGTAAAACTGTAAACGGTTAAATAAATTATTATTTGATACTGCTGATTGATGTCCATTATTTTGATAATAAAACATTTGCGACTTCATATAAACATTTGTTATTTTTTTTTATCAAGAAACATGCTCAAAAATCTTTAAAATATACTTTTGACTCACTCTGTATATATAAATAAATTATTCTGACAAAAACATTTCTGAAAACTTTACCTATAAAGGGATGGTGCGTTGGCGCAATTTACATTGTACCACCAGTCGCATGCAAATTCGTGCTGGTTAAAAAGTGTTCCATTGGTGCATAAGAAAGAGGCACCCTGATGTCCTTCACGTCCGTCATGGCAAATATGATATGCCTATAACAATATCAATTTGATACACAAAATAAAAAATCACATAATTAATTTTACAGGAGTATAATAGAGTTAATTGTGTTTTTATTTTTTTTTAGCAATTTTGTACTTTTCTTATATATTATAAGAATATATGAAATTATTTGATGTAAATTACTCGAATTAAAAATAATATAATAACTTTTGTATTATATAAACATATTAATTAAGAAATTAGTAAGCGAAATACATTGTGCAAGTTTAATAAAAATATTAAAAGCATGAAATTATCGAAAGAAATCAGTTTTAAGGAAATATAAAGGAAGCAAATGACATTCTTGAAAAGGAAAGTTTAGCGCTCTGAAAATCAAGTTGCGATGCATGACGGAACGTTTCAGTCACGTAACGACATTTATACATTTATTGCATTTTATTATTTGTATAGAATAAACTTTTTTGTTATATTTCCACGACAATGATCGCTTTTAAACTTTATATAATAAATTAAATGCAAATATCAAAGATAATATAATTTATTAGAAAAATGCGAAATATCTTCTTTGAAATGCCAAAAATTCGAGATGTCGAGCAAACGCAAAATTACATTGAGCATGTACTCGATACATTGAGAAAGGCTGAATCAAGCTCAATTACGACAATTTGCCGAGACTGTTCTCTCGCAGAGTTTGTCTTTCACCAAGGCAAGATTGGTCCTTATTCCCGCGTTGCCTTGAAGTTTTAATAATACCAGTCCGTTCTCTTACATAATAAATCCGCTCTACTTTGACCGCTCACGCTACGTTGAAATCAGTGAAATAATTTTTGCTGCTTACTTGCAAGTAGCGTGATTTTGTGCAGTACGTGGCATAAAGTGCGCACAACATAAAATCTACTTTGTATAAATATCATTAAAGATATAAAAAGAGGGTAAAAGAGAAAAGATCGATCATATATTGATAAATTATTTTCAATATGTAAAGTTATTTAATTTAGTCTAAGAATAATTATTGTTTAGTATTATTATTGAATAGCGTACACAATTTTTATATCTCAATTTTATATAAAAAAGAAAGGTAAAACATTTTTTTTATTTAAAAAATAATTGTATATGTAATTGACATATATACATATATATAAGTTTCATTTTTATACTATTGTTATTAAAATAAATACAATTAATTGGTATTGTTTATTTATTGCTCTCATCTATATTTCTACAAAAAAAGAATAACAACAAAGTGTTTTGTTGTAAATATTCTCAAGAATCAAAAATTATCAAAAAAAAAAATCTTTTTAAGTTAATTAATTTTACCTTTAAGTAAATTAATTTTACTCCTGATTCTTCTAATTTACCTTTATATAAAGCTAATAGTTAGTATATAAAATATTATAAATATTATAAATAATATAAAATAAGTGAAAAAGAAAAAGATATATAAATACATGTATATATAGTGTATGTATTATATATAAAAATATATGTACCTGACAACCGGTTTCCACATTTGCATACATTCCTGGTATAATTGGAACATGTGCGCAAGAAAAACTCGTAGGTGGCACTGTATGGTAAATGGGATAATCTACCCCAGGAATTCCAGGAATTTTGCTCAAGTCTTGCTCTTTTTTCGATTCTTCTTTTACGATAGTAGGCCTTCGAAATCCCACTACCGGTTGAAAATTTTGGTACTCATCGTAATAGTCATCTACCGGAACTTGTTTCTGATCCATTTATAAAAATAATTGATAGCAATTTGTTATTAACATGATTGCAAAACAAAACAAAGCGTAATAAAATGAAATGTAAATTATGAAAAATAATCATAAAAGTAATAGCGTAGATATTTAAAATATGATAGAAATTGATAAAATATGCATATATGTATATATTGTCTAATGTAGAAAAAAATATATATATATATATATATAATATAAAATATAATTTTTGTATTACAAGAAAGAGAGAGAGAGAGAGAAGGGGGGGGGGAGAGAAGAAAATTGGAACACATAATTCGCTTTCTTTTATAATTTAGAAAAAGTTTGAAGTCCAACAGAGTGTAACGAACCTTCACGAAATGTTGCCTTGATTTATTCAAAGCCAAGGACGTTTTTTCACATTATTTTTATTCTGCAACTTTCCATATTATGAAGCGAATCGATTTAATTTAATAATTTATTAACTTTAATTTTAATATAAAAATATATAAAGCATCGAACAGGTTATTAATGCATGTCAATACAAATATATAGTATAATACAATATGTATTGCGTATTTATGTATAATATGTATACATATTTTATATATCCTGTATTATGTACATATATAGGATGTAACTAAAAAAACATACGGAGTAAACCATATTAGATTCTCTGGCCAATTTGGAGACGATTCTTCAGCGAAAATCATTTTTTGTACGTTTCCAATATTTGCATCATTTATTTGTGTAATTAACAATAAATCTTAAATTAAAATTCAATTAAAGTAAATTACTTGAAACTAATTAATGTAATTTTTTAAATCTTTTACTTTCACAAAGTTTAGCAAAAAGCCTTTCTTTTTCTATCATTTATTATAACTTGAAAATTATTGGTGCCTTGATCGATATCTATATGTATTTTAAAATAAATGTGACTGTGTGTGAATCATATATACGGGTAATAAAAATATATGGCTCTGATAATAAATATAAATAACAGAATAATGGGCTAATTGAGAGTCGAGCATCGTATTTAATACGTTTTTTTAATGTGATTGATTATCAAGAATTTATTCGTACGTTTCGGACATCAAATTTGGACCATCTTCAGAATATATGTAACAATTATAACCATCTATAGAATATATGTAACAATTATAATACAAGTAAATGATTATGAACGAAAAATCGCATTCAATTTATACATATGTGTTTAACAGTGGCAACCAAATATTGTCTAATAATTATCCGGACCATACGATCAATGTCCATATCCTATTTCAGTAGTTGCCGCGAAAGAAATTAAACATTTATCAAAATAGACACGTGTAACAAGATAAAAGAATGATAGAAATATCTTGTTTGGTCGTTTATATATTGACGTGTCAAAGTCGTTGAAAAGAACAGTCATTATTATTATAAACTTTGTGCAAAAAATTATTTAAATTAAGTCATAACATTATAATACACTTGTCATGTTTGTTTTTTTTAAAAATCTATTGTTTTTATAAAAGAGAAATTTATTATATATAAAATTAAACATTAGTAGAAATTATAATTGAAAATTAAAATTATATGTTAGAAAGATTATCCACTATGTTAAAATATGCATGATGCAAACTTTCAGTGTCAGTTTGTAAATTCAGACTGTTGATCTGTCTTTTTATAAAGATCATTTCGTACATGAGACGTTTTCCATGAACGCGCTCTTCATCCAAAATTTGAAGAATTTGGTCCGAATTTGATGACCGAAACGTACAAATAAATTCTTGATAATCAATTTCATTAAAAAAGCGTATTAATTACTACGCTCGGCTCTCAATTAACCCATTATTCTGTTATTTATATATGTATATTTTTCTTAAAAATAATTATACATTCTATTTATCTTGATTAATTCCTTTCATTAAGTATTTTATGCATAAAAGTAAGGTAAGTTCAGGTAAGATCATCAACAAATGAATATTTTATAAGATATTTTGTAGTTTATGTAAACTTATGGCACATTAAAGTACAAAATATCTCGTAAACTATTTAATTTTTATCATTCTATCTTTATTATCTTATAACTTTTTGTGCCAAAAATATCGATTTATATGAAAAATTGTAATAATTTCATTAAAAAAATAAGGGAACCCTTCTTTGTTTCTAAAGACGCCCAACATTTTTAATTCATCATATTTTCATGTATCTTATTCCATTTAATTATAAATAAAAATTCAATTTAATATCTTATTGTTAGTAATAGCGGAGAAAACATCAGCTTGTAATACTTTATGTGGGAGACATCATGTACAATATATTGTGAAAGTATAACACTTTACAATTTGACATTAATTATTTGCAGAAGAAAGAACACTTATTTATTACAGAATAGCATCAAATTTTTTGAAATAAATTTGTCTCAGAGTTGATATTAGATTATTATTGTTATAATACACACATATCATAGATATTTCAAAAAGCTAGAAAAAATCTAATAATAAGTATAATAATTGCTTGTATGTAAAATATTGATTATCAGTTTATAACGGAAAAATGTTTTTGCTTAGTAAAACCGAGATTTTTATATATACCTGCACAATGGCTGAACAAGATGTTGCCAGTATAATGGCAAGCAAAAGTACTGGAACGATACAGCGACTACTTGGCATGACTGCACCGAGTTTGAATATGAACGAAACTGGACCCAGTTTCAGTTGTAACGCTGTACTAGGTATATGAGAAATTATGTCACATAGAGAAAGAGAAAGTCCAAACTATACGTAATACAAGATATAAAGCCCCTTCCATGATGAGATACGTTGTGACTAATTAGTATATAGTAAAACAGAGAAATTTAGATGACTGTTGACATCGTCAAGACCGTGCATCGCCGACGATTAATGCAACTAGACGCAATTTGCATTATATACATTATCAAACTGAGGATTATTTCGTTGACGTTTTCCTATATTTTGAAGTCTGCTCTTGCATTTTTTAAATAATGTAAGTCATTAAAGCAATAATTAACTTAATCTAAAAAGTATAGATTTACACATACACACACACACGTATCATTTTGACACGTGTTTTTTCAAAATTTTATATTATCAAACTGAGTATCATTTTACTTATGTTTTTCCATATTTTGAAGCCCGATATTGCATTTTTCAATTAGTTTCAGCCATTAAAGCGATAATTAATTTTTTCTAAATTTTTTGCCTGCTTTACGTATCATTATGTTAGGTATTGACACGTCAGGCGGGCACGGCGTCAGGCGAGCACGACGGGAGGCCCTCCGGAAGTTATGGAAACGCTCGTTCCCGGAGGGTTCCCAACCAATGCTAGGGTCAGGCCACCATGAGGGTTTCAGTGCGGTAGCTTCCTGTGGCCCCTACCGAGATAATTTTGATCTTATCTTGGTAAGGGCAGGAGGAATTCCACATAACCGGTGCCCCTTGCAAAGGGGCATTCGGTACCTGTTACAGGTTTCCCTCATGTTAAAAAAGAAAGTAAAAAAAGGACACGTGTTTGTTCGAATTTTTTAATTGTTAAACTAAAGATTATGTCCTTAACGGTTTCCGATATTTTAAAGCCCGCTCTTGCATTTTTTAATTAGTTTCAGTCATTAAAACAATATAATTAATTTTTTCCAAATTTCAGGTCCTGATTTATGTATTATTGTTAGGTATTGACACGTGTTTTTTCGAAATTTTTATTATCAAACTGAGGATTATTTTGTTGATGCTTTCCCATATTTTAAAGCTTGCTTAAACATATTAAACATATGAATTAATTATTAATAAAACATTAATAATTAATGTTTTAATAATATATAATTTAAATTTAGTTCATATCATTTAACAGTTATTAACTGATTTCTATCAAAAGATTAATAGAATTTAAATTTTATTAATTTTATAAATATTATTTAATATAAAATTGAGGAATGGCGCGCGCTTGTGTTGTTCTAGTACATATTAAATAGTATAGAGACTTTATTGGAAAATAATCATTAACTCCTCTCTCGCATTTCTCACATTTCTTTACACATATCTATACATATAATTATTATATGTATATTTTACATACAATTTATAAACGCTTTGCAAAAATAAAATTTATATCTTTGACTTTTAAATAAAAACATAGATAAAATCTATCTTGTGCATATAATTTGAAATTAATTAAAATAATTAATTAATTAATTACTTGATTAATTTTTATTTAATAAATTAGAATAAAATCTTTTATCTTTCTTAATTCTATTATAATAAAATATCTGATATATTTATTTCACGATTTATACTCTAATAGATATTCAAGATAGCAAGACAAATTGCAAGTTTAAAAGGACAGCAATTTCATTAAGAATGTCCCATCTTTCAATTTCGTCAATTTCATTTAGAATGTCTTTTTCTTGCACATTATTTTTCGTCATTGCCTAAAAAACATTTACGTTTTAATTTTCACATTATACAATAATTAGTTGTAACAGTTTTTTCCGGATTAATGCAAGTATTAAAGTCGCTCTCTATAATAATTACGTGTAAATTATGGTTGATTATAGTATATTAAAAAAAATGAAACTAATAAATAAGATATTGATATATATTTTCTGTCTCTTTACATATTATGTAAAGTTTGTGTATTTTAATACAATAACATAAATCATAAGTACTCGTCTGTACTATCTGTCGTTAAAAAAAGTTGATGTCTAGAGCAAGAAAAAACCTGAAAGAAATCATCACGTTGGTTTTTGTAAAATGTTTACTACCTATAGTTTAACACTATTTGCGTTACTCATTTATATATTAATTATTATCTTTAGGAAATACATATATATAGAACTATTTATAGAAAATAATAAATTTTCATAGAAGATATGTTGTAAAATATGTTATATATACTAATTCGATATATAAACGTGCATGAAAAGATGATATGTTGCAGAATATATTAGTTGACATATTCGGGAAAAATATAGTTATATATCATTATATAAAATTGTCCACATATCTTTCCTTTCTTTTGTAATTTTTGTCTGTATATGTATAGAAAAAGTAAGAAAAAAAAGAAAAAGAAAAAATAACAAAAATAATTAAAAGAATATGTTTTGTATTTTTTTTAGAAAAAGTAAAATTTGAAGAAATTAAAAAATTGCTCATCAATTACATAAGAAGAATTTGTTTTATATAATATATAATATATAATTATAAAATAATTTTGTAATTTTTAGTGTGTTTTATTCTTATATTTCTGCAATTTCCATAAAGAAATAATATACAAATTTTTCATCTATTATATAAAAAATTATTTTTTATATTATATATTTTAATAATTTTTCATATTATATTTTTTGTATATAGAGATAGAGATTATACAAGAAAGATTATAAAAAAAATACAAAAATATATATTTATATATTAATATTATTGATTCTTTTCCCTCTCTCTCTCTCTCTCTCTCTTTTTTTTGTGACAACTTTTATTATTTCAGCCTATAGTTTATAAATTAATTTTATTTATTTTATCAAGAGACACAGTAGTGTCTCGCGCCACGCCTTTTTACGTATTTTCATAATTATCTTTATAATCTTTTATTTTACCAAATAAATAGTAATCAAACAAAGATAAAAATAAATTGCCAATAATATTTTTTAATTTATATCGCTATAACTTGCTTGCGACAGCAAATCAAATAATTAACAACTTATAATCGTTTAATCTACTCATGATTGTATGGAAGTTTTCATTGACATAGCAAGCTCTTTATTTACATTTGTATTGTGCCAGAAGATCGCAGCATCGTTTGAGGATCGCAATTTTGTAATACGAGTATACTGTAATGCAAGTCAACTGCTTCATTAAAGAAGTCTAACATATAGACGTTGATCTAGATTACATTGCATCGCGTGTAAAAAACTGGATAGATAGTACACGTCGTCGTGAGTTGTGAAATTACTCGTTGGAAATAACATCACGACGCGATACGATTAATCAAATGCTGTTACCACATATCTTTGCAAATTAGATGTCGTGAAAAATGAAATCTAGTGATTTGAACAAGTGAAACGTTTACGAAACTGAAATATTTTCGAGAGAAATAAAGCATTTGCATTAATTATCGCGCAAAGATTACGGACAGACATGCTTTCAAAAATATTTTTCTTATTTATACATTTACATTATATTTATGAGCATTCGAAATTTATAATAGACTCAACTCTCCGCTTCGCGTAAAGATACACGGTGTTCCTCGCTTTTTATTTCGGCTATGCCGGTAACAGGGCGCGAGACATTACCGTGTCTCTTGATATATTTAATTTGAATAATATTGGAAAATCTGTCACTTAATTTTTCCATCATTTAATGAATATATTAAAGATAATAAGTCATATACAATGATGTTAATCATACTCATAGATAACAGGCGTACGAGAAAACTCGTATCATAATGCAATACATTTATTATGCCGCAATAGATAGTTTTTTCTTCAATTTATTTTTAGACTTTTAATATTTTGAAAAACTTTACTTATTTATTAAATATAAAGTCAATTTGATTCTCAATAATTATTTTAGATAATTTCTCTCTCTTTCACTCACACACACGCACGCACGCGCGCGCGCGCAAACACACATACACGCGCGTGCGCAACTCAATGAGTTTTATTTTAATTATTTTAGTTTTTTGTCCATTTACATCCTTTACTTTAGTTCAAATGATGAGAATTATTTGCATATTCTTTCGTTTTGCTTTGAAAAAACAATGCATATAGATATGAAAGGAAAGTCAATGAGCCAGCTTTAATTGGCACTTGGTTTTGATGTCGACAAACATTTCCTTCCTTTCGTGACAAGAAAAAGTTTCCGGTGTATTTGCGATACTTGTATAGGCAGAATTGTGAGAATTGGCGACACTCGAGATGACTCTTTGATGAAGTGCTGGCGATAGTTTTGAATATTGGTACTGTCGACTTTGATGATGCTGTTGATTCATGTTGTCATTTTTTGAGTTTACATGTCCTAATGATCGTTTATGAAATTCTTTAACAAATCCTTGATAATCCTCGATAATCTAGTAAACAATGTGTCAGTTTAATAATATGTAAAGTAGTATATATATATATTATATATACAAAATATATTATATGTATATGTATATATCGATCTATACTTGTATATTATCTTGTTATTTGGAGCCAATTTTCCTCAGCAAAAATATTGAGGCAATAATTTTCAAGTTATAAGCGATTGAAGATAAAGGGTTTTTCGCAAACTAAGCCTTGTGGAAATAAAATATTAAGAAAACCACATTCTCCAATTAATTTCAAGTAGAGTTTACTTTAATAAAATTTTAATTTCCCAGTCAGAAATGATAGATAAATCAACGTCGAATCGACGTCGAATTGATGTTGAATCGATGCCGTATTGGTCGAATCGATATTGATTCGACATCTTTTCGACCGATTATTTCTGACTGGGTTAAGGTTTAGTTATAAAGATACATGATGGTAAAAATTAGGAACATGCAAAAAATGATGGTCTTCGACATTTTTTGCTGAGAAAAAATCGTCTCAAAATAATAAGATCTACAAGTAAATTTGCGATGTGACACCTTATAAGACATTCTATTAACTAAGAAATATATTATACTGTATAATTGAGAAATATATTATACTGTAACACATTTCAATTGTTAAAGTCAGAAATTATTATATTAGACTGTAGTACATTTTCATTGTTATATTTTTCAAATCCGTGTGTTGCATTGTACATGTGTATAATATATGTATAAATGTGTGTATATATTACAATAAAAAACAATATGGTGCCTTATACAGAAAAATATCTAAATTATAATTTTGAAGATTTTAAAATATTTAATTAAGAAAGAGAATGTAACTTTATATAGATTTAAAATATAGTTTAATAAAGCTAGTATTTTATCCTTTTTATATCTATTAAAATAAAATTTTAATTAATTAAAATTTTCTTATAAAAGGAAAATCCTTATAGTCTTTATTTAGATATAAAAAGTTTATTAAATATAAAAGTTTATAGATATAAACATCTTACTTTTAATGTAAAAAGATAGTTATAATATAAAATATTACCTGATGCGAATTGAAGAGCGCGATGTTATTAACAAAGTCATCATCAAATGGTTTATATATGATGTCCCAATCATATTTTATCTCCCAGTCAGATAAATCAAGCCAATCTTTATTTGCCGGTAATATTAAAGGCGTTATAATAGGCTTGTAAATATCCGGTTTGATGGGTGGTGCTATCGGTACAAATTGTCTATAATTCGAATAGATTTGTGGATTTGAATAACTTTGAAGTTTGCTTTCGAAATTGTTCGATGTTTGATAATTTGTCTGTTCAAACGGTCTTCGTATAATATAAGTGGTATCGACGGTTTTTGGGTGATTATAATGAGGTTGGCCTTCCGGCGATACATATCGACCGTCTGATGTTAGATAGACCTTGATTAGATTAGAATAAATATATATATATATATATAAATCGTTATCTTTAAACTATATAAAATTTGTATTAAATTTTAATAAAAAATAAAATTTAATAACTAAAAATCTTTATAAACATTATTCTATATATAATTAATAATATATATATATATGCATGCAATATTTTACAATTAATAAATACATATATAATATATTAATTATATATACAAACATGCCTTAATTATTTCGGGCATTTTTTGATCGAAATGAGGATGTTTATGGACATGACGAGCATCTAAGACAATACCATCAGGTACGGTAATACCTTCCTTATTCAATCGATTCAGCGCCAAACGATCCGTTTTGAAAGCTTCCTCTGGAATTTTACCACCCAATGCTGGTAACACTTGCTCTCGAAAAATCTGTCGTTTTTGCTGCAATAACAAATTATGTTTAATTAGGCACAACAATTGCTAATAGCAAATTTGATTAAATGCATCAGTGCGTATTGACAATGAGTGCATATAAAGGTTTATACACAAATTTATAATGACACAAGTAATTAAAAAAGGAAAATAATTAATAGTAAAATCTATTATTATCATTATTTATATTGAACAACAATAATAATAGCTCTTACTATTAATTATTTTCCTTTTTAAATTACTTGTGTCATTGTGAACTTATTGTGTGTGATAAACCTTTATATGCACTCACTCATTGTCAGTGCGCACTGGTGCATCCAATCGAAGTCGCTATAAAACAGATAATAATATATATATATATATATATATATATATAAAGTAGGAAAATGATTATTAATGATAATTGTATCTATTTCATAAAGTAATCGCATATTAATGCACATAAGATTTATGTATTACATACATGCAAGATGTTAAATAATTTTTGATGTATAATACTCTTAAATTATAAACTAATTGACATTTTCTAATGTATAATATTGCGTAATCTATTATCGAAATAATAATCGACAATTATAGTATATTAACATCAAATTTGCAATCTATTATTATTAAATTTTCTATATATATATATATATAGAAATATATATATAGAAAATTTAATAATAATAGACTGCAAATTTGATGTTAATATACTATAATTGTCGATTATTATTTCGATAATAGATTATGCAATATTATACATTAGAAAATGTCAATTAGTTTATAATTTAAGAGTATTATACACCAAAAATTATTTAACATCTTGCATGTATGTAATATACGTAAATCTTATGTGCATTAATATGCGATTACTTTATGAGATAGATACAATTATCGTTAATAATCATTTTGCTACTTTCACCAATAACTTTCACGTGATTATACATCTACGACTCATCATTCTTTAATAAATACCAATTTGACTGTAGGATGAACAGTTACACATGCGCGCATACATAGTGAAATAATTGTAGAGATTATAAGTAATATATAAAGTTAAAAATTCGAAATGTTGAAGCTGTATGTAAATTTATTAATAACATGTTAATGTTTTTAAATAAGTTAATTTATTAATAGTATATATGCTCACATTTTTATTATAAATATCCTAGACAACAAAATATAAAAAATCGGGTCATAAGATGTTTTAAAGGAGTTATTAAAATTTTTTTTAGACATTATACTAAAATATGTCACGGCAATAAGATATTTCTAAGACGTCTTATGTTCCGTTTTTAGATTTGATATTTAGGATGTTATTGCGCGAATATTTTATTTACTATTGAGAGAAATTATAGAAATTATTTATAATTATCTAAATTCTAGATGTTTAACCTTTTCTGTTTCAACATGTTCTGACAAAAGTGTGATTGCCAGTAGCAAGCGGTACCAATATCCTTGTCTAATTATTTTCATAGTGATAAACGTTTCATTTGCGATGTCTGCAATTATATTGTCACGTGTATCCTTCTAATATAATTGTTTTGATCTGAAACATTAAAGCATACATGTTATATAAAAAATATATTTTTAATTGTAATGTATTCGCCAAAGTCATCTAAATTTATCAGATCGCTGGAAACATATTTTTGCAGATATCTTTATCGATGTATCTTTCGGTCAAGAGAAAGACTCGCATTGCGTAATGTGGATACGCGTGACCAGTGTACAAGCTATATATAATCAATATGTAGTAATGGAAGGGGCGATGCTAGCACATTGATGCTTATGTGGAAAGATTATTTTGTTGTATTATTAAAAAATGCCGTGCTTTTATACGATGCATTCGTTTAACAACTCATCTATTCGCTTTCTTATAATTATAAATAAATATGCCACCTTGTATACTCTATGTACAGGTTACATAAGATGTATATGTATATATATGTTCGTATAAATTAGTTTGCATTTTATATTACGTCTTAATTCTTATAATTTTATTGTGTGTGTGTGTGTAACATTGGTTAAATTTATATAAAAAAATATAATAATAATAATTTGAATTGTTATACATCAGAGTATTCATTTTTCCATTTCTGTAGACTTTTATTTTTATCAATTTTTTTCATTTTGATAGATTTACTAAAAGAAATATATATTTATATAACGAGAAACGTAGAATTTAGTATTACAATGGTCTGATATATATATATATATATATATATATATATACATTATACATATACAAAAGTGAGAAAAGTTAGTTATTCAACATTACAAAAATATAAGATATATTGTTCAGTTTCTTTTTAATAAAAAATTGCATTTTATTTTATCCGTACAAATAAAATAGTCTATATTTTTATTTATTTTATCATTATATATTCGAACTTCGAATCTTGTAATATACAACATGATTTAAACGTTTATTTAGTAATCACCATTCATATCCAGCATCTGTGTATCGTCTCAATCACTCACCATTTTTCCTTAGCCTTGTTCTAATTATGTTCTCGAGATAAGTTATTGCAATCTTTTATTTCGACTCTCACGTAATGGCGAGTGAATAGATATGAGATATGTTGAAGATTAATACACTAGAAATATCACTTATCACTTTAACACTACTGTGTTATACATTAGGTTCTCACAAATAGCTTTTAAATGATTTATTTCCTTATCAAATGTTTTGCGAATGCAAATTCAAGAATGTATCAATTTTATTATATTGTTTTTATCCGCATTCACTCTCTTTCAATATAAAATGCTAAAAAGATTTGTACGATAAATGTAATTAATACGATAATAAATATCAATAAAAATTTTTTGAACATTATGTCAAATTCTTTGCAAAGATGGCCATTATTTTATATTTATTGCAAAAATATATTTATTAACTTCAAAAATCAATATAGTTACCACTGTTACCATTAACTATAGAAAGCAGTTGAAAGGATCCATTCTCTTGAAACTAATTTTCGAGAGGCGAACAAACGACTTATTATCAATGTTATGTTATTATATAGACAAGTCTAATTTTAATGGATCCGTCATGGTAGAGTGAATTTGTTCATGCGAATCCACCTTTCTCATCACAATGAAAGCTCTACTTTGAGATAATTTTATTTGGCATATTATCTCTAACAACTTTTCTAAAATATTGATATCCTAAAATATTGCTTTATTTTACATATAATTATATAACTTATATGAAGTTTGCAGATTGACAATAATACAATTTTCGAGGAGGATACTTTGTAATTTTATTTAATTTTATAGTCATGTCGAAAAGAAAGTTAAGTTTATGACGAGACACACAAAAGTTAAAGTACGGTATGCTGCAATAATATATATGAATCGAAGTAAAAATATGAACTTTATTCCATTATTTATGATAATTATGATATTTGTTTATTTTATATTTTTCAGATATGAAAATAATACCAACAGAATAAATCACTGTGGGTTTTGAATAAAATGAAATGAATACGTTAAAGATATGATAGAATAGATAAAAATGTAAGAAAGTTTAATCTGCAAAAGCTTTATATTATATATCAAAATAATAGTATAGAACCGATAAATATTAGTTTTAATTTAGAAGGCATAATTCAGATAAATATTAGTTTTAATTTAGAAGGCATAATTCAGATATATTTAAAAATTGAATAATAAATGCGAAGATATATGTATATATAATATTTATGTAATTTAAAGTTTAATATTAATATATATGGCTTTATATTTTTCTATTGTGGTTAAAAGTAAAAGTAAATTAAAATTGTCTTTGGAACAAAAGGATGTGATATTTTATATTTTGCTGATCCATCACACAAGCGCACTTGTATTAAATCATCCATCCGGATGTCCGTATCGCCTAGATTCTCAGTAAACACTTTCGCTTTCTCGCGAGATTTTATGCGAACGTAAGATTATTACAAGAGAACACATCTACATATATGTACGCGCAATAGAAGAAAGTCGAGAAATTACATTGAGTCGACGAATGGCTTTCCAAAAATATAATACATGTAATTGTTGAGTATTTTATCTTCCGATGTTATAACTGCTTACGCAATATTTTCTTATATGACTTTATAGGGAGTATTGAAATATGTAATTTTTAATTCAAAATTTGCGCAAGAATCTCATTAATATAGTTTAAATATATCATTTTGAATTCTATTTAATTTTTGTTAATGTGTCTACAATTTTCTGGTAATGTTTCTCTCTTTCTCTAACTTACTATTTTTCAACAATTAAGTTTTAAGATATTTTTGTAACATACAAAGTAAATTTTTTAAAATAAATTACTATCGTTGGATGCAAATATGTTTCGGAAATTGTTTCTTACAAATTTTATAACTGAAAAACTGACAATTATGTAGAATATTATTTCTTCGAAATATTTGTTTTTTTGATATTTATTTTTATTTTTATAATGAGAGAAATAATATAAATATGATATTAGCAAGCTACAAACACATAATTAATGATTAAATTTATTTCACAAATAGTAATGAAGGATTAAATTATATAATATTTTGTTGTCACTTTAATAAAGAATATTAATCCACGGTTAGTAATCGATAAAATTGCTTTAAAAATGACTGAGCGATTTGTATTATTATAATTATTATTTAATATATAATATAAATTATAAAAATGCAAATGTATGCAAATATTTTTTAACAATTTTCCCTTGAAATAATGTAAAGATGTTTTACAAAGAAAAAAATAAAAACAAAAATTAAATATGCATATACACACACACACACACATATATATATATAAATATGTATACTATCACATGTATAGTATTATTATATAAAAAGTTTATTATATATAGTTTATAGTTATGTTATATATAATTATATATTATAATGATAAAAAGAAACGAAATAACAAGGAATGACAAAATAACGCGCACCTTGAAAGTTGACAATAAATTTTCCCGCAGATTTTAAAATGTAATACACACTGAAAAAAATCGTGCTATTTACCGCATCTGCAAATTATAAGTATTTTAAGATATAATTATTGTCTTAAGTTCAAACCATTTATAAAATGCACACCGCACAATGAACAGATCTATTCAACCAAATAGACTAGGTCAGGAAGTTGAAGAATGGTGAAGATGATACTGAGTCCACGAGTAAGAGTTTGCCTCGTGATATACCCGAGGAGGTTGAGTATATGAATTGAGAAGTACTTTCACTAGACGATCGAGATAATCCATTTTCTTTTTCTATTTCTATTCTTCTCTTTTCCAGTGTTATTATTGTACCTTTTGTTACAGAAATTCTCTAATAAAGTAATAGAAATTGCAGGATAATTGTTATATAGTTATGTGTAATATTAATTTTTTGTAAATGTGTCGATTACATATATATATATCTGTATGTGAGTATAAAAATATTGAAACGTATATCAAAAATATTTTCAAAATGTAGATATATTTCAGTTTAAACATTATATATTATTAAAAATTATAAATTAGACATTCTAAAAATGTTTAAAAACTAAAAAATATAAATACATATGTATATTAATACCTATAATAAAACAAAATATAATGATATTAACAAATTAATTATTAATTACTATTTTAAATGTTAATGTACATAAACAAATTATATTTACTAAGGTAGTAGATATTAAACTGACTACACTGGCTGTCTATTCGATTTGTTAAACTATATTTATTGACGTTTCGACCATACGGGTTGTGATCCTTTTCAAAATTACAATAGAAGCATTAATGAGTTACTGCATATCGTTATTGACATTTAAAAGTACGCTCCGGTGAGACTTAACTTAAGATCGGATGGAAAAGTACAGTGTGCTCAGTCGTAGCAAGATGACACAAGTGAAACGCAGTTAATTTACCATCCGATCTTAAGTTAAGTCTCACCGGAGCGTACTTTTAAATGTCAATAACGATATGCAGTAACTCATTAATGCTTCTATTGTAATTTTCAAAAGGACCACAACCCGTATGGTTGAAACGTCAATAAATATAGTTTAACAAATCGAATAGACAGCCAGTGTAGTCAGTTTAATATCTACTACCTTAGTATTTCATTCCTGGCGAACGAAATTTAATATTTTATTGAAATTATCATTTAACTTACTATCTTATTACTAAATATATAACTTATTACTAGATATACATATATTAAACAAAAAAAAAAATTGATAAGTATGGATTGAAACATAACAAGTTTGGAAATAATATTCAAATTACATTTAACAACGCACGCACATTAACCAGATTTAATGACAAGTGAATAAAATAGTGTAAATTGATTTTAAAATAAGTGTAAAACACTAAATAAATAAAAAATAAGTTGTCTCGTTAGATTACGTCGACATTTTAAACAATTTCAAAAATATTTGCTTAATAAAAAATATTTTTTTTTCTTTTTTTCTTTCTTCTTCTTTTTTTTTTTTTTTT